ACTTTCACAGCTATAATGGCCTAATCACAAATAGTCTTCAAGAATAACCTATTTTTATCTTCAGAGGCAGACCGTGTCAGTAGTACATGGTGCAAGCTTGTCTAGTTACCAAGGTCTAGCACTACTTCTAATACTATTAACAGCAACAGGAAGAAGAAGAAGAAATTAGATTGGAAGAAGAAATGTGCTTTATTTTCATCTCCTGTTGGAAATTATACTCCCTGTCATCTTAAAAACGTAATTTGGACTCCATCTAATGTTTTAATTGGTATTTCTGAATTGCATAGTTTTCAGAAACTTGAATGAAATAAATAGGTATATTATTAGAAATATACATATAAACTTTGCTCTGGATTTGTAAATCTGTTTATAAATTAGCTTGTCTGTTGGATTTTCCAAATAGGCTCTGTGAATGTTTATTCAATTACTTCCTCTGCTTGAGGGACTAAAAATAAACCTTGAAGGAAGCTGTTCTCACCCTTAGACAATATTGTTGATGTTGCAGTAATTTGAATGTCAAATATCTTGGGGAGAGCTTCACATTTTTTTGGTGAAAGATTAATTTGAATATTTCATAATATTTAGATTAATGTAAAAGATTCAAGTCATTATTCAGCTAGAAAAAGCTCCATGCAGTAAGACTTTTTTAAAAATCCCATATTTGATTTGAACTCCACTTCCTATGAACTGCACCATCTATTAGGCCATAAAGTTTGACTTTTTCCTGTTTTCTGGCTCAGTGAACACTTGCACAGGTCACAGCAACTGAAACAGGATGATGGAGGAGACTGATGGGGACCTTCCCTCTATCCTCTCCTCACCTCATTATCTCCAGCCCCAGACATGCTTACAGGACTGTGAGGAACTGGTAAATATTAGTGCTCTTTTTCATTACCATTATGTACTCTCTGTGTGTTTATAATTCATTACTTGCTAAAGGGTAAAATAATAATTGTTTGTAAGCATGACAAGGTAGGAAAGGCAAAATGATGACCTAGAAAGAGCATGTCAAACACTCCAGCATAACAAGGGCACTGGCTGCAGGGAGACTGCTGCTCTGTTGCTCATTTCCTCTTAAGTTTCAAAAATGTTATTTTTTATATCATTCTGAATGTTTTCTGTCACAGACAACTAGTAAGGGCTTACACCTGGACCTGTCATTGAGCCCCACTCATTATTTCTGCTAGGGATTTTGGTTTTCAGAATATTTTTTTAATAGATTTGCTATTAATTGAAAAATTCCATACATACACATTTGAGGTCTTCCAGACATAAGAGAATGATGTATTTCTCAGTAATACAGTTTACAGCCTATGCAGACTTTCAAAACAAGCATAATGCACATCACAGACATTTAAATTGGGTAATAAAATTTAATCTCTTTATATGCAAATGCAATCCTCCATGCTATGATATCAAAAATATGCAGATGTGCAGGTTTACAAGAGGAGTGACTAATTTGTGGTTAGTGCAGATGCAACATTACCTGCCTTCTCAGCACAATAATATCACAACACCTCCTGCAGGAAGGGTGATGCAACCTGAAGTTCATCAGCAGCTTTACTCTGTGAGCAATTACAGATTGCTCTTGTTATTAATTTTAAATGGGCTACCATGCATTGTTTGCACAGATTTTTAATTGCACACAGTACTCTGCCCCACAAAATTCCATGTGGGCCACAGGTCCTTTAAGCATTGCTATATCTGAATTGTTTCAAAACAACATGTTAGTTTACTGGGAGGATCAAGCTGTTCTGAGTCTCAGAAGGGCACAGGAAAATTCATAACATCCAGCAGACTGCAGTGCTGCAGAAGGGCACCTACTGAGAAAGCTAGCAGTAATTGAACAATCTTTCTGACAAAGGAAGAAGGCATAAAACAGTCTAATACTTAATGTTCTACATATGCTATACCATTCCCCAAAGCTTGTATGCCTTGGCATAAGTATAGCTGCAAATGTGAAAATGCTATTAAAAATCATAGAAAAACAAACAAACAAAAACCAAAACTAACAAAAAACCCACAAACAAACCAAGCTGTGGTTGGTATTTTAAATTTGTAAATATGTATGCAATTTATATGGGGATTATTTTCTCTGCATAGGTCTTTATTTCTTCCCTGAAGAGGGAAACTTAAACTAATCTGAAGCTGGATCACACAGAATGTAGATTGGACTGAAAAATAGCTTAACTACCCAATCAAAATTTATGGGCTGGTAACTCAAATTGATTTTATAGAACAGTCCTCTTAAAAAGACATTAATTCCAGAAATAATTATGCACATGAGATGTATAAATTATATTTTAATATATTGAAGGTCGTGAAACATCTTACTGCATTAATACTGAATAAATCCTATCATTTACCATTGCATCCTCAGGGCTTATGATCTTTTTAAAAAATTATAATGAACAAATGCTAACTTTTATATATTTTTGCCATCCTGAGTATTGTTTACCTCTTAATCACTTCAACAGTTGCTAGAACAAAGACATTATCCGTATAGAAACACATCTTCCTTATATGAATACCCCATAGTGCTCCCACAGATGTTCATTCCTCAGGGATTGATTTCAAGCCTGGAAGTCCAGAAGAACCACATGTGCAAGTACCATTACCTTCCAAAGGCATCAGATGCTCAAAGAATCACTTGGAAGCAGTTTTTAAACTCAGCAGGAAAGACCCTGAACTCAGAGACATCTCATAAGAATTACAATGACAACATAGCCTGCTATTGGAAACCTGGTTGAAGCATAAATTAGCTTTAAGAAGACAATTAAACCAAGCTTTGCCAAAATGAATGTCTGACCTGGCCCCTCTGACTGCGCTTTTCATCATGACCTATTAACAAGTAGTGTATCTTTCTGATGTTTAGCCTTTCAAGTACAAGGAAATTAAAAAACTTGGCAATGACATAAAAACCTAAATACATTCCGTAAGACAAACAAAATGGAAAGTACAATCTTTGGACAAAGGCAATGCTTAGGGCAGCCAGCATAAGACAACAGCCCATGCAAAATTCCCCAAACAAACACTGAGAGACATCACTGCTGGCAGGAGCACTGAAAGCTGTGGCTGAAGTGCCAGGTCTGTGCCGAGTCCTGCTGCTGGAGAGAGTGTGAGGGATGCTGAAGAGGAGAGGGGGATAATCCCAATGATGCCCTAAGCATTGCCAGCAGTCCTGCAGCTTGAGTCAGTACAGTTCACTAGAAACATGTAGGTCACAATAAGACAAAGATAAAACACTAGAGTTGCACAAAAATAGCAAAAAATGCAACTGAATGAGAAGTTGAAGTAAACTGAGGCAGCCGTGTAGGAATAAGGTGTGCAGACTGCTCCAATGACCAGTGGGATTCTCTGCATGGGAGTGATTATTTCCATGGAAATTAGTGGCAGCAAAAGAAGGAGCTGATTCAGGGCTGATCACCTGGCTCCGCTCAGCAAGTTATTAGACTGATATTTTATGACACTATTTATTGTCTTTTAATGTGTCAAACATGTTTGGAAATTTAAATGCATAAATAGACCAATCAGTCTCACATTTCCATTAGTGAATCACATGAAGCAAAAGTATTACAATAATGATAATAGCAAACCATGAAGTTACACTGGATTTTCTACCTAAGAACAACACCCTCCATTCATGTCAGTGACAGGGACAATACTGAGACATCCACTCTCCTAACTATTTTCTTGCTTAAGTTCTATGTTCAGTTACTTTCAGATCCTTACTAGTTTTGGACTGATAATTCCTAAATAATTTGCAAATATCTCATAAGAAAAAAAAGTTTCATTTGGGCAATTGAAGCTTAACTAAATTCATTAATATTCTCAGGAAGAGAGTAGAGATTTGAAGATTATCTCTCGTTTACCTGACATCATCCTTTATATTGTTTTATAATTAATTCCACTTAATATATGGAAAATTTATAATTCTTGTCTCTACTATGTTATCTGCATATATCATCTTAATTTAATCCTTCTTAAAATTCTTCTTCTGTAAAGTTCTTATGAGGTGTTGCATGAGTTTTAATGCCAGCCAACTGCCATGTTGCTGTACAGATTATTAATAGAGTGTAAAAGAACAGAATTTCTGATATTCACATTGACTTGACTCAAATTATTTCTAATTTATAGATAAAATTGGCTTATAATTCTTTTTAGAGCTTGATAAATTCTAGTTTTAATTTATCTAGAAAATACAGTTATAAAGACAAAGAGATCTCCAATCTGCAAGCCCTTCTCAATTTCCTAAAAACTCAATATTGACTAAACTAACATTTTTAGTTTAAAACTTTCCTTGATAGATTTCTTTGCAATAAATATCCTTTAATAAATTAAAAAATGCTTGATAATTTAAATATATACAAAATTAGATATTAAAAGCATAAAGAACATGGTTCTTATACTTGCAAAATATAAACAGGAAAGTGGAGAAATTAATCTAAAACAAACAAAAACCTGGCTTTGTCTATTTGGTATAACCACAAAAGTGTTCTTCTGGAACACTTGAAATCTCAAAAGTAATGCAGATACTGCTTAGAATAAAGCAGGTGGTGACAATATGAAAGTAAGTAGGTATTCTGGAATCTTCTCTTTTTGACTTTATTGTACCTTAATGTAAAGGAGTATCTATGTCTGACTGTTATAAGAAAGTTTTTTCCACAGTGGAAAGAAGTGGAGCAATATGAATTTCAGAAAAGGCATGCTTTGACATCAGCACTAACAGTATTATTGGAGGGTTACAGAGAAACCATTAAAAACACTCCATCCCTCTCCAACAACAAGCAACAGTCACTGACGTTGTAAAAAGAGGGGGGAAAAGAGGAAAAGAAAAAACTCAGTTTAACAATTCATTAAAATGTTTCAGAAAGCACAAAAGGATGATTTCATACACCTTTTGTAGGCTGTGCATACTAAATATTCATTTAATTTCAAAACACATTATGATGTAATTTTATGAAAATTGACAACGAATGCACCCATAATAAGAACCATACCAATGTCAGCTGCATCACAAGCTGGTGAAGCCCTCGCTGGCAGTTTCTGAAGGGCCTGTTTGCCATCTGTCAACTGTGGTGAGCTGCTGTCTTGAGGCTGCTGCTGGTCTTCATCTTCAGCAACAAATGAAATTACACCTAAAACAAATAGATACCAGGTGTTGTATTACCCAGGAATTAGCTCCACAAAAACAGACTGCCAGACATGCACAAGTATTTCCCCAGTTCAAAATGAATGCAAAATGAAGTAAAGCTTCCATTCCAGGTGTCAGCCATCCAATTATAATTTATGATATTAAAAAGTATCTCTTGAGTGATTGCAAGGAAATTAACCATTTTTTGTCCCCAAAGAACTCTTCTACTTTTGTGAAGAGATCCATAATGAGCACCTGAAAAAGATCAGTAGTAGGAAACACAATATAAACAAGGACTTCATAAAAGCTACAAAATCTGGTGATCACTAATTGTATCTTTTTCCCAGCTCAATTTTCTGTGCACAATCTTGATTGTTTCTGTTATTTCTTTTTAAATCACAGTGTCTCATTCTAGTGATATAAGAGAATAACTGTAATAATTAAAATATTCCTGTGACACATTTTTGTACTGTATGTTAAATTGTAATCAAATGTGACAAGAAGATAAAATACAGAGACTACAAACTCTGAATTTATCAATTGCCAGATCTCTATTTAATAGCATAAAATCTAGTAGGTACAGGGTGCCTTTAAATAATATTAATGTTATTCTGAAAGATTTTATATACTGGCTTTAAATTAGCAGGTTTGATTTCTTCCATTTTGTGCCTCTGTCTAAAAATTTTAAATCTACATAAACTTTTGGAAATACCAAAAAACATTCTACATGCATCTAAATTATTTTCCTTCAATGTTCAAAAATATTTTGGAGAATTTCTAAGCCAAAATAAATATATTTTGCAGATTTAATTCTTTCTTCATATAAGATCTGAGGAGGTGATGTATTTTGTGCTATTATATAGTAAGAAATGTTCTCATTGTGATTATTAGAATTTATGTGAAACATCTTCAAAAGGGAATTTGTTCATTGTGTCTTACCAAGGACTTGGGAAAACTATTATTTTATGGTATTTTTTATAAATTTTAATGGAACTTTTAAAATTTGAAATGGGGAATTCTTATGAGAGTCCCAGAAAAAATTGGATTGAAAATACCTACATCTAATGGTACCTTTTGTTTTTGCAGCTTTGAGTGGGGTAGAGGTGTGACATGACAAACACTGACAAACTATTCCTACTAAGAAGGATTACATTAAATGATTATAAGGAAGAATCTTGTTTTCTTTGAGAGACAGCAACTGAGAAGCACAGGTATAAAACACTGAAGTTAAAAATAAAATCAAAAAATGGAAATAGGTTTCAATCCAGAGGAAAAATATAATATATAACTTCAAACAAAAGTTCCAAAAGAATAAATTACTAATGCTCAAGAATATTTCAAGAGCTATGAGAGGAACTATGATAACTGAAAACTACTTGAATTGCTAAACCACTGTGCTGATAATCCACCAATTGCATGATCAAAAATGAGTGAAGAATTTCAGGATAAGTGCTGACACTCCATTTTCCTCCTTTATGAGAACCAGAGCTCAAACAAACAGAGTTAATAACAATGAGGTTATAATCTTGATTGATAAAGGTGAATGACTTGATGTGGTGAATACAGATCTCTACAATGCTCTCAATTAATATGTCAAAGTATTTCTAGAAAAACTAATGAGTTTTACTACAGATGGTATACATTTTGTAACTCTGTTTATCTGCTTAATCTTAAAATATTCATAAATTGTTTTTTGTCATTTTCATGGGCATCAAAGTATCTACTACTGGCTCAAAGCTATTTGCATTTTTTATTAGGGGAAAATAAAAGAAAATAATTGCTGGCAAGAATTGCAAATAACAAAAAAAAAAAGTGTATTAATTTCATGTCAAATCTAAAATGCAGAATTCTTATCAGTGAGGACAGTACACAGTATGATCTGCATGACTTGAGTCTATAAATTAAGGCAGAATATTTTCCTAGGAAGTATTCCTAATTAGAATGTTCTCCTGGTTTGGGAGTAAATGGTGCAACCCACTGACCCTTATTGGATCCTAAGATAGCAGATGATACATAAATATATTAATTTATTCAAATTATGGGCTATAAAAATATTCCTGTCAAGAGACATTTTGCAGGATGGGAAAAAGAATTTTATACAATGAAGAGTAATATAAAGTACTTTGGGCTCTATGAAGTCATAAATAATACATTGGAAATGTGCAGAAATGCTGCATCAAAATGACAGATTTCAAATAACAAATACAAAAAGCAATTTTACATTTTTCATATGGTTCTGCTGAGCTTGGTTTCTATGCTTTTAAAGAGCTTTGACACAGAAAGTTCTGGTCTTCTGGCTGTGCATGCACAGCCATCTTACAGAACTTTTACTTAATCAGTGCATCTCACTTTTCATTATTGGTGCTACAAAACAACTGATAAATGATAATCTCTTTGTGCACAACAGTCCTCAGTGTTTGGGTTTTTGGGTTTTTTTGTGTCCAGTTTCTCAGTTCTGACTTCTCTGTCACACATTACACAACTCGCCATAATATCATGGCTGATAATTTTTAAAGCATATATTCAAGACAAACCAGATTTCACCTACATTCTAGAGATACAATTCCCACTGATTCAACTGGCCACAGAACTATGCCATCATCATCTATTTTAGAAAGCAAGGCTCCTTAGCTGTCCTTTTGCATATATGTAAGATACTAAAATTGCATATATGATCCTAAACTTGTAAAAGCAATAATACAAGGATTTCTAGAATTCTACTGAAAACTGATAATTAAAATTTACATTAATTTACATAAATTACCTTTTTGCTGACACATATTAATTTAGAAGCTCTTTTGGTCAAAACATCATTACACATCTTCTAGCTTTACTAGCCAGTGTTGAAACATTTTATACAACTACAGTCCAAATATTAACACCAAAGCCTTGTTTTCTATAGCTTCAGAGAAGATGCATCCCTTTAAAAGGAGGCAGGCTGTTTTATTTCTCAATAAAATTGTAATTACAACACCCCATGTTAGACTGACTCATTGACTATATACTACACACCCCCTGTATCCATGAATACAATTATGAAAGCAAGAAGTGCTCAATGCTTTCCTCTGTATAATTTAAATGGAATATTTGAAAGATACATGGTGTGCACGATTACTTTCTGCTGCAGAGAGATGATAAAAGTCCACAATATTTTAACTGGAAAAAAACCCCAGAAGGCTATATGGGGTTTTTATATCTAGGCCACAGAATTCATCACACAAATCTGAAAAGATATAGAAACATTTGGCTTGTGGTTTAAATATACCAACATGAACTTAATAAGTTCTTGGGAGTAGGAGGAGGGGTTTTTTTCGCTTTTCCTGGTAATTTTCTGGACAATGAAATTTATGTACAGTTGCTGCCACAGAAAAGTTTCACAGAAGAGATAAGATAAATTAACAAGATGAGTGTAATTTATGTAGCTATTTGGCCAATTTTTTTCTTTTTGTAGTTTTTCTATTGACAAAACAAAAAGGATATGTATTGTAGGTTAGAACAAAACTTTATAATCTCTATTTTTCCTAGGAAAATTTCTATGATGAGGCATGTAAATCCTAGGAGTTTCTGCAAGTTTCTATTACTTGTGGGTGTACTAGGATTAAATTAATTGCTCCCTACAACAACAAAACAAAAAAAGAGAATGAGCTTTATTATAAGACTCATACTAAGGAGAAATTAGCAAGTGGCAAATGCTGCTATCAACTATCAATCATATTTGGCTTTGTAGCATTTAATAGAGAGGTGAATTATTTTGTTTATAATGCTCATTGCCTCTTCTTAATGTGACAATGGAAACACAATAAGGAAGGCACAGCAGCCTGTAGCTCCAGATGGATGGATGGATGGATGGATGGATGGATGGATGGATGGATGGATGGAGGGATGGATGGATTCATGGATTCATGGATTCATGGATTCATGGATTCATGGATGGTGTGTGCCAGGATCATCTTGCTGGGCCATGCCAGCAGCTTCTCCCGTGCACTCTGGTGATCCAGCAGAGCCGTTCACAATAATCAAGCAACCAGAAGAGCCTTAAAGCTTTGTCTTTGCCACCACTGAATCAGACTCAATTCGTCAGCGTGATGTGGGTGAAGAGGAAGGGCTCAAGGCAAACAGGCAGGTGCTGTAAATACAGCTTAGGCTACAAGAAACTACAAAGATCATATTTCTCCCTCATGGGTACTTATGATTCCCATGAAATTATAGTGATCAGTAGATCAATTTGCAGAATTCCAGTAAAGAAATTGACTTTTTTTTTTTTCTTAATGCCAGTGTCAAATAGATAATAATGACAAACAAGTTCAACCAACTCATTTACAGACCAGAATGTATTGGCATGATCTTCACCACCTCAAAACTGTCCTACATCTGACAGGCCTGGGAATAATATTAAATAATATTAATTATTAAAAATAATTAATGTTATTTAAAGGCCTGGAACATGCTGCCTGTTTTTCCTCAAGTTTCTAAGAAGCATGGAGAACCACTGCCTACTAAACATAGATTCAGTTAAAAAATTAATGAAAGGTGAGACATAAAGTTAGAAAGCCCCTTTCCAAATGCCAGGGGGTTGTATTAATAAAAGGGCACTGACTATGAAAGGTTTGTGGGTTTTTGGCACAAGACATATTCAAGTATTATGAGTTTTGATGTATCTGGAAAAATTCTGGTCTATTCTGTAGAAAGCAGAAATAAAAGTTTGATAAAATATAAAGCAATCTGTAGAAGATGCTTTATCAAACCCAAAGAAAATTGCTCAATTACTCAGAAAACTGAAGAATTTTATGTAGTGATAGAATCTTGTTTGAGGTGTTTATTTGCTATTATTTCTGTGTTAAAGCTGTCACACACCTACAAACTAGCTGAAGCATGTAATATTAGCACTCTATTGGAATGCTTCCAAATGGGCTTTAGAAAATAACTGGACCCATTTTTAGCTTAGCAACCATAAAACAGCAAGACAGAAAGCAAAAGCAGCATAATTTTGCAGCTATATAATTTTGGAAATAAAAGGACTTTGAAAGTAAATGAAAAATGCAAACCATTTGCTCAGTACAACTTATATGGTAAAAGTTCTTTCATTAAAATTTATTTTAATATGAAAAAAACAGTATTAGAACACCAAGGCTACAAAGTTTTGCACTCACAAGTTAGAAAGTTCTAGACTTGAAATTATTCATCAGCACTAGGACAGAGTCCTCAGCTAGGTATCAAAATAGTTGTCCTTTCTTCCTTGCAGGATAAAATTTACTCCCTCAGCAGACAGCTTTGGAGCATTGCTTTTTATTTTTTCATTCAAACTGTTCATCCCATGGATTATTTTCTTCCTTCTAAACAAATTCCCAAGATGGAATAAATATTTTTTTGGGGGGGTGGGAGGGGGCACAGGAAGTGTTTAAATTATACTTTTCCTACAGTATCTTTAACCTAGATTAACTTAAAATTCCTGAGTATCGCCTAATTCTCACTTGAATCACCTACTTCTAATCTGTGACTCTCAAGATTCAGGCTGGCTGTTGAAATATCCTGAAAGCCTGAAATGCATTTATATATATATATCTTTGACACTGAAATTTCTCAGGGCCTGGAAATTCTACTCTGGAGAACAAATATGACTTGCCAGCCTTGCACAGTCTGATGCAGACAGACTTGCATTCTCCTTGAAGCCACAAAGAAAGCACTTCCTAACATGTTACCTTAGACAGGACACTTGGTAGTCAGGTTTACATCAAACCTAACATCAGACAGCAAAATCAGCTGCTGCTTTTCACACCTGTGATAAGTGGCCTCCCTTCCCTCCACCCCTCTCCCTGCTCAGCAGCTGAATGATTAGAGAGCGTGCATGGATTTCTGTGAGAGAGCCAAACCTGTCTCTGTTCCAGGGGAAGAATGAGCATGATTTCCTGAGGTAGTGATTAAAGCAAGCCCTGAGCCAGGGGGTGGATTGCAGATAACTGGGCCCTGTCCTTTTCAAAGGATAACTTTACCCTTCTATCAAGTTATTTTAAGGTGTAAAATAAATGAACTTTTCTGAGAAGAAGGGCAGATGTGGCTTCCCAGCATTTGTACCACTAAATTTTTGTTGGGTTAGAGAAAGTGACTGTTCTCTCTTTTTTCACTCAGTGAACACATAATACTTCAAAACATAATGGAAACCATTGTGATAGAAGTCAAGGGAAGGAGAGAACATTGGAGATGTAGATCTGAACATGCTATCTATGTCCCTTTGAAGGTATGGCTTTTATCACCTGGTATTAATTTGCTCTCTGATAGATCCCTTGGAGCCTCTTCTACTGAAACTTTCATTATATATAAAAGAACTGGGAATTTTCTAAGGCAGAAGAAGAGACTATTCTTAAATCTCTAATGCTTAAAAAAAAGACATGTTAAAATATAGTACATCCTCAATATTTCCTGGTGCATGTTTTTTGACGGTTACAATTTCATTAAAATCTGATTCCTATTCATACAGTGAGATTTTTTTCCAGGCCTAGAGATCAGGCCACTGAAATCTTCCTATGGCATGAGGCCAAGCCTTGTTACAGGTATTAATTTCTTTGCACAATTCACTTGTGAATTGAGATGGCATTATTAGTTACATTTTACAGGTACTAAAAACAAAGTGGCCAAAGGAGCAAAGTAGTTTGATATCCTCAGGGACAAAATTTAATAGCTTTTTAATGCTAAGAAAACAGCTGTCATTAATCTCACTTGTCCAAGAATGTAGCAGAATCAAGTGCTTGGAGTTAGGAACCCACAAATTTGAAACTGCACACAATAAGCATTTTCTATTGAGAGATTTAACCATTATTGGGAGTTCAAATCTTTCCCTGAGTGCTACTCAGTTCCTTTAGGATGGTCTTCTCTGTTTCCACAATTGCTTCCCAAAAACCTTTGTATTTTTCTCTGCTGAGAGTTACTACAATAGTTACCCTACAGTGAAGGCAAAGACTGATTGTACAGTTTCATTCTCAAAACCATGCTTTTCACATTATAAGTTAAATAATGAGCACCACAGAAATTTAGAACCATTACCAAACTTATAAAAATTATGAAATCTGAATTGTTGTTTAAAAAGAAAGTCAGGAAAAACCTTAATGATGGGATGCTGATATTGGTTAAAAATATGCAGTTTTGCTATTGTATCATAAGAATACCATTATAAACATGGATGGATGCAAATTATGTACAATTAATTATAGATCTCCCTAGCCTCCACATATGTCAAAGAAAGAACTGATTTCACTGAATTCTATTTATGTACTCTTGCCTTGTGGTCAACAGACTGAACATTAATTAAGGGAAAAAATCAAATTCTGGTCTCTGCCTTTGAATCTTTGGTTCTAGTAGTGCTAACATATCTAAAGGGATTCAACAGGTTTTGGAAAAATTAAATTTAGACCTACATGCTTGGTGATAATTCAAAAATCATTACTTCCTATTTAGTCAATTTTCATGAGACCAATTAAATGCATAAAGTTGTTCATATGCTGGCATTTTTGAAGAACCTGACCACATATTTAGCAGTACGATACCTTTAAAAATAAAAATATGAGCCAGCTTAAAAACCTGAATCACAAGTAATGATAACCATACTTCCAGAAGAAAGGTTATGCATAAAAAATGCAAGCATTAGGTGTAAGGAAATTTAACCTGCTAATTTATAGGGAATTTTAAAATTATATTTGAGTTCTAAATAGTACCTTGAAAGACTCCTCGTCTGCAGGGAGATATATTCAAAGTGTAAGCAACAGTGTCCTCTGGGTTGACAACCACAGCAGGGGGACCACTCAGCATTGAGAGATTGGAATACACCTGGGGAGGACAAATCACATGAGGAAAACTCATCCAAGGCAAGTAACTATTGCAAGAACACCAAAGAGACAATATTCATTCTACCTGCTTTGGAGAGTAGAGTAGAAAATATGGTATCAGTAAGTCCTAAATTTTATGCAAATGCAAGAATACACACTGTAAGAGAAATGCTGGTATATGCAGATGATAGAAAGCACAAATTTCCAAGTCATTGCTCAACATGATCGAAAGTATATTTCTCAGACCACAGAACTGTTTACATATGCAGAGATTTGCACAGCTAGGTCCTTAATATTTTACACATATTTTTATTAGAAATATAACAAAGAGATTCAGCAGTACTGATCCATCTAAATAGACAGAGCAAAGCAAAATCTGAAGTGTCATTTTAACATCATTTGCTAGACCTCAAATTCTATTAGACTGTGCTTTTTGATATGTCACATTTTGTAAATGACATATACACATGACATGAATGGTAACTCTCAGGGCAATGGAGAGACCAATAGAATTTTCACATGCAGAACTTTTTTGCAAACTGTAAAGCCCATTGGGAGAATAGAGGGTGAGTATTTTTAATTGCATCTCATTTCTTTCTCTCTTGTACAGAGCTGCTACAGAGGAATTCTTTGAGCAGCTGCTCATGGTGATGCCTTAGGATTTTAGCTTTTATATTTTTCAAATCCTGTACTACATTAGTATATGACTCTAAATAGAGTGTTAGTTAACTGTCTTCTCTTTTGATCAGACAAAACAATCCTTCTACACCTGAAATTCATGGACACCCTACTGCCTCGGGCCCTGAAAAGTATAAACAAAAGTGAATTGGAGGGGGACAAAGTGGGGGATTATTACTTGATTACCTGAAGCTGTAATTGTAGGGTTAACCCCTGATACGTAAATGGACCAAACTTATATCTGTCTGAAAAATTCATTACCATTCATTACCATCCATTTTTGGAGTAGCCCCTTGGGGAGGCTTCATCTGCCCTTAATGTACCTGAAGGCCCTTCATTAAATATATCTGCTTTTATTCTCTTAATTCTGTCTGACCTCTGTTTTTAGGTAAGCCAGGAAAAGACATCAGTGGAAAAGGCAGAGCTGGCCTGTCAAGCATCCAAGTGGATACCTGCATTCTACAAAGATCTCTTTGGCAAGACTAAGAGCATTAGATACACATTCATTTTTTAAGTAAATATATTTTTTTATTATTTTCTGTAGAAAATAAGCATATTCTTAAATAATCTTTTCTTCTGATACAGACAATCATTGCCTACAATGAATTCCTTCTCTGTGGTATTTATGTTACTGTAATTCCTTTTTCTGGTGCTGGTTCTTCTCAATCCAGAATTTCTATTCCAAGTAACAGATTAAAAAAACCTGTAAAGCAACAGACTTCCTCTTCCCCAACAAATCTAAATTTCAAACTGGATATTAAAAGTCCAGCATCCAGAAAGAATTAGAAGAGACTACTTGGCAAGAGAGAAAAAAAAGGCTAAAAAAGAGACGAAAATACTTGTTTAATTGCCACTTGGAGAAAAATAACTGGAAAAAAAATCTTTAAGTTGTCAACAAAGAGCAAAGCATAGGAAAGGTAGGGCTGTTACACTCTGAAGATGGGGAAGATATTAATTTCTTAACATTTAAACAATAAATTAGTCAGACTCCTACATTTATGGACTTTTCTTTATCAGTTTACAATGAATGTACACAAGAGTAAAGGATAAGTACCTAAAAATACAGCTAGAATAATAGAAATGACAGCAAATTACTAGAGATAGAAACAAGATTAGTTTAAATGAGACTTCTCTTCAAGGAAAAAGTAACATGGAGACAGAAACAGAAGTAGGATAAATGTGATTAATTTAAATTAGATAAAAAGCAGAAGGGTAGGATAATAAAGTTCTATCAAAGACTGGACATACCAGACAAGTTTCTAGCAAAAGATATCAAAGTAAAAGGAACACTATTGACATGGTTGACTCTAATAAACATGAAATGCCTCTGGATTCCTGATGAGTAAAGATGGACTGGAAGTTTGCTTTTCAGTCGTTCAAGATAAATTTTGACAAGTTTTCATAGTAGTGAACTAACAGAAGCGTAATTATTTTAAAATTAAGTTTTTAATCTTAAGGAAGGGACTGTATAACCAAATAGGAAAATATTGAGTAGAAGCAATGAAATTATGTCAGTATACACATGGCCACTGTTCCAGTGCTTGAATCCAGATCTTATATCAAGAGACATGAATAAATTCTCCCTTCTCTGTCCTGTATCACGTTAAACCTTTTGGGATCAGATGCTCACTAAAACTTGTACATAACTGATGCTGACCTCTGACTGCTGTCACCTTTCCAGCTGCAGTCATTAAACTTGTATTGTCAAGCTGCTCATTATTCCAGAGCTATAACACAAATACTTACCATCTTATTAAGGAATCACCCCCATTCATTTACCAACCCTATTTGTCTCTGTTATTTAAGTTACTCACACCTCAGTCAATCTCCAAGCAGTGGTCACAACAGCACAGTCTCCTATTCCAGCCTCCTGAGGAGGTTTATGGTTGTGACAGACATCACTCACCAGGTACCTCTCATGTGCTCTTAAATAGAACTTTGTCTTGCTCCAATGGCCATGTGATTTATCAGCTCTGTTACTGAGGCTAATTAAATGATCAACCTCAGATGACAAATAGATACTAAAAGTGCATGCCCACGCTTGCCCATGCACACAGGCAATTTATCCCAATATCAGAATTCATACCGAGAATCATTCTCATTTGTTCACAGACATTTGGGATTCTAATATGGCATAATGTTGTATAACATGTCTCTGCTAACTGCAGGTCTATTACAAAATAACAATACATCCAGGAATACTCAGAAAGTGAAAAAAATGGAGAATTTAAAAGTACAGATAGGGGAAATTCCAGAAATTGCAGATTTCTACAACAATAAGAAGCTGCAAAGATTATGTAAGTTTAGAGCAAAGCTTTGAGTGAAGCAACAAAAGAATTTATACACAGTAAGATTTAAGTTAACTTTGTTCTGAATATCAGAGAGCTATTTCTTATTAAAATGTACTTTTATGAGGCTTTTACGAGGATGTAAGAACAGGACACAATTTTAGTCATAGATGTAGTATTGAATAACCTAATATCCTATAATAATCTACAACACTGTGTTCCTGAAGGTACCTTAATATGCCTAACAAAATCTATTGATCACTACTATTAGGCAAATACATTTTTTGAAGGAAGAAAATAGGGCATAAATTGGGGTGCTTTTATCAACAACAAAAATAATACTTATTTATAAGGTATTCAAAATTAGTCAAGATATGAAATTACTTCTTCCAGTTAGTGGGAGAGGCAGTTTGTCAGCTTCTGTCCTGATGTGCAACCAGAGAACGATGAACAATTACAGGCAGATTAACCAGAACCCACACCAAGGGTGGGGATGCAGAGATCTGTACTTACACACCAGGTTTACATTGAGAAAAACAGGTAGATCTGCAGATACGCACTGAGGAACACACAAAATTTATCAGGCATAAATAATTGGATAAATAATAAATAGCTTCTTAAAATATGTTACATCACTATCACTCTGGAAACTAGAATTGCAGAATAACTCAATGGAGCCAAAGTGTAAATTATCATTCAAGTTATCATTGTGACCCTGCACAACATTTGCTCAAATCAATCCATACCCAAGGATTTGGTTTTTAAATTATAGTATTCTCCTTTTTCTTAGATATCAAGTCATTATTTACACACAGCGAGAAAGTATGAATGGAGTATATGTATAAAATGCTGCAATTTAAAACTAATTTATCAGCACTGGCTTCAAAACTCATTCAGCAGAACTGTAATATGGCTATTTAACATGAACAGAAATGGAAAACCAAACTTCAAAATTACAGTAAATTTTTCCACTGCTGAATAACCAAATAAGCATAACTCCAAAAACTTCAAGGCAAAGTGGTGAATGGATGTAAGAACATAATCAAATATACTTAAACTCCATTGTTTCTTAGTATAACAAAGTTAGACAGTATCATACTCAAGTTTCCATTTGAAAATTGTTTCTCAGGTCTGTTTAACAATATTAAGAGGCTCTACTTAGCAAAAAGATAATGCTCTTTGACCCTAGGCCAGAACCTGATCTGTGAGTCTCTGATCAATCTGACAACCAGACTCTTTACAAAACTCTCAAGAATGGCATGTTTCCAAAACAAGCCCCCATTACTTTCCCTCATCCACCTTTCAGTGCACACTTTCCAAATTCCTGAATCACTAGGAACTCAGTTAATTCTTGCAATCATTTTTATTTTGCCACCAGCATGTTACCACATTGAAATAAAACATCTTTGCATTGTACTGAGGATATTCCCCAAATAATTCCTGCCTGTTGAGCAGTAATATGGAGTTCTACATAATGAAAAATGCTACATAATCCAGATTTGATCTTAAACCAAGCCACCTGTCAAGACCACTAACACATTTCAAGAAATAAATTTTACCTAAGACCTTACTATGCCCTTAATTGATATAAAAATTTCACAACAGGTTATCAAAAAACAGCTGGTAAGAACTACAGTTATTCCTAAATTCTGTAGGCCTTTGAACCATTCATTATTGCTAAGAAGATTGCTTTTTCTTTAGTGAAAATAACCCTGTTACAGAAGTTCTGGTAGATACAGTGGAAGCCAAAGGAATTGAAATTGAAAGGACAGATAAAAATTGAAGCATTATGGAAAACACAGACCCACTTGTTGTTAAAGAACATGAACTTGACCTTCAACAATCAGGTTACTGCACTTGCACAGAATTTGTCAAATACATTACCAAACAAGAGCGAAGTCCCTCATTAAAGGTTTATGGTACATCATTTTAATACTATAAGCCATTTTTTACAAATACCTAACCTTCATGACATTGTCTTGGCAACATTGTAAAAACCCAAAATGGATATATAGAGAATAGATGTAAAAACACTGAAAAACAGGGGATTTAATATTTTTTCATTATGTATTTATTCTACAATTTTATAAAATACTAATAGTTTGTATAACCTAATGCCTGAAAAGCAATTTACCTGGGTCTTGAGATTCCTTTGGAGAGTTTACTTTAATGACATCTATTTTAAACAGCAATGAGAAAAACAGTTGCACAATTTTATATTTTTATTGCAAAACCATGCCTTGAAAGAATTAGGCACCTTTATAGCTAACGTTTCTATCAAAGGTATCATTAGAAGAAGCCATCAACACATCAGAAAATTATGTATATCCAGTTGACAAAGATTTATATAAGTAAACAAGAAAATTGCATTTAAAGTTTTGTCATGAGACCAAGAGATTGGATTTTCATAAAAATGCTTTACACTTCCTCTTTTTGTCAGAGGAATTGAATGTAATTTTACAGACATGAAAATTCATTTACACTGCAGTCACTTACTTTCTATTAATTCATTATCAGAGAAGGATGTGCTCTCTGGCTAGTGTTATATATGCAAAAATTCTTTATGAATTCTGTTGTGAATTTTTTTTTTAATATGCAGGAGTAAGTTAATCACAAGGAAGATTATTTGTTTTAAGACCCCCTAGAAGCAAACACGAAGAACACAGTGGCAGCAGTTCCCTAAGGTTTACACATCAATAAGTAGACAAGAATTCATAAAACCATTCCCATTTTTCAAGGGAATTTATGGAAATTGTCTTTTTAATCATGGAAAGCTTTGTGAGCACTGAAAGTGTTTTGCTTAGAAGATATAAATGTAGACTGATGGAGCCATGCACATGACCTCCACTGAATTGCAAAGGCACTCCTTCCCTCCTCAGCTCTAGGTCCACAGTAATGATTGCACAGACAATCAAACCACATATATAAAAATTATTGCTGCCCCAGACATAAACCCTCTGTATATGATTGAAAAGGGAAAAAAATTATTCAGATGGAAAAGGGCTGTCTTTCTGCAGTAAAGGCAAGTATTATTTCTCTCTTCCTCCTTCCAGACTTAGATTTCATTTTAAATAGTCACTTTTGCAGTAGTACCCTCATTTTGGCTTAGGCTATAAGAAAAATACAGCAAATATGAGAAACAGAGTAGCATATATATAACGCAATCTCATTTTTTAATGAAATGAGGGTTTTTGTTAAGCTTATATTTTAATATATTCAGTTATTAAAATGAAATAGTGAAGCTAAATTTACACCTTCAAGGCAATATTACCCAAGTATTAGTTCAACTAAATTACTTGTTGCTAAGTATTCATCGTGCAGTAAATTATTTATGGATGTGCCTGTAAATTATTATGTTTGTCAGCTCCTGGCACATCTCATACCATTCTTGATATAGGTTGAGCTTTATTACTTCAGTAAATGAAATTCTTGTGGGTTTTCTTTTTTTTTTTTTTTTTTAATATCATGTGCATCCCAGTTAATCTATGAGAAATTATTTCATATGGTGGATATACTCCAGCAATGCAGGGTGTATGGGGCACATTAACCAGCCAATCCACTAATGAAGATATTCATTAGCTAACAAAATTACAAAACATCTCATAAAAAAACCCAAAAAACATCCAAAACTATTACTTCTTGTATTATCTTTGCTCTGTCTGCCAAGACTGACAACATTTCCTCTATCTAATCACCAATGTAGCTACAGCACAATACAGAAAACTGTCAAAGATGCTGGATTAAACAGGAGGAGGAGTTATTGGGCTGCCAGCAACTGCTCCCAGGGGAAACACAAACAAAGACAAAACCAGTGCTTTGCTTCATCACAGACTACCCAGATAATCAGACAGCAGAGAATAAACAACAGCAACAAAATTAGAATAATTTCTTTTTCCTGTTGCCCTTTGTGCTATATACATCTGAGTAAATAAAGTTTATTTGGCATTTCCAACAAAGCTGTGGGTCACAATTCCCTCTTAGAGGAGGTTTTCTGAATTCCTCTAATAACTACAGATACCTGTGATCATGTTCTGGAGTTAATGATTAAATCCTAATTTGCAGGCAGACTGTTTTGGAAATAAAAGCAAACAAGTGATCTTCGCTCACTCCAATAGCACAAGACACTACATGACATCTGCTGGAGAGTGCTGGAAGTGATTAATATTGTTTGCTTTGTGGAGCTTCCAGACTCCAGCAGGCTTTGTATCCTTGACTTTTCCAGCAATTCCAGCCCACCTTGCTCCAACAACTGTTCTGCAACCGCTTCTGGGTAAGAACCGCGCACAGAGAAAATGCATTATTCACACCGAGTAATTTATTATATGCACACATGCATGAAATAGCTGACCTTACTATTTCTCTCCCAAAGGTCCCAGAGCTACAAGAGTACACGCAGTTGGACTGTCAAGCAGTATTTCACAGAGATGAAAAAAGCACAAAACCCCTCCACATCACAAAACCAAATTTCAGGGCCCAGAGAACACCCTCAAGGAGATCAAAGATCAGTCAGACAGAGCTCACCCTGGAATAGTTACAACTATCATAAATTCATTTAATGCAATATTTCTGAAAAAGACATACAATGAATAATTTTAATTTATTCATTTTGAAGTTTGTTATTTCTGTACCTTTCACTTACATTGGCACCAAAAAAAAAAAATTGAGTTCACACAAAATAGGAAAGCAGAAAAAACAGCTCTGCTGCCAAAAACATTCCCTTCTTCCAGAGATAAAAGTACAAATATATCTGAAATGCAAATGCATTCACATGTAAAAACCTAGACTGTTGAAAATAAAAATGTCAAAGCTGGTGATGCCCAAAAAATTCATTTTTTACTTTGTTTTGGAGATGATAATGAGTTGAAAAATAGGAATATGAACCTGGACCTTTCTGTGATATACAAAGTTTACTAAATGTAGATTGACCTGTAAAAGTGGAAACCTGGAAAACTGGAGACTAGCAAGAAGACATCCAGTGAAGGATTTTCACATTGGCATGACTTATCATTACCTAATAGAACACTGCTGCTGGTATATACATGATCTCTCTTTATATCTTATGGTCAAATCACTTACTACCATTACCTTCCAATCTGAATAAAGCAGCAGTTGGACCTATAGGTACCAAGGCAGAGAGCAAAATCACTCATTTTGCAAGTCCACACTACACAGCTAGACACACATTTTATCTTCTAGCATGTACATTGTCCCATTTTCAACCCTTCCATGAAAGAAAAAAAAAATAAATATATATATATATATATATATAATGTACAGATGATGGCAATTGTTTGCCATTGCTTTGATAGATAGAGCCATGCTGGCAAACACTGTATGGCCATAATATCTGGATGCTACCTACTCTAGATTTAAATGCCATGATAAGAGTCACAAATATGGATTTTCATGAGCAAGGTCCAAGATGTTCCTGCTCAGGAAATTCTCTGCAGCTGAGAGGAAAAGAAGAATTTAATCTTCATTACCCTAATGTACCTTCTGTCTCTGCTGGCATAGGGCATGGGATCCAATACATAGGTGCAGAAGGTGAGGAATGCTACAGAAATAGTTTTATCACTTCCAAATTAAACATGCAGACAAGATAAATAGAAGAAAAATTATGCTATTTCAGTATTACAACAGTGGTTTCAAATAGGAAAATGTGTTTGTGTAAATAGAGGTATAAAAAATAGCTAATGGCAAGTATGAAAAATAATTATTATATTTAATGGTAAAAATATGTTCTTGAGCAAAGAAATCAATAAACTGTATTTCTTAAGAGTTTTTATTAACCTCCTCAGTGACCCATTGCCTTCCAACAAATTCACCGATTACCTTTGAATTTTCTCTTCTATCAACAAACACACAAAGCATTCCCAACTTCCTCCAACATTGCTGAAACAACAGCTGGGCAATAGACAGTAACTGGGCCAGGCCACTGGGCCATGAGATATTCATGTATAGTGGGCTCATGCTGCAATCCCTTCCTTAGGAGGATAATAATTTTTGTCCTTTTTGTGTAGTATTCAATATTTTATGAAGATTTTAGGAGACTAGTAATTCTCAGGCCCCGTCTCTGATTTAAAAACTGATGGACTTGGCCACAGGTTTCAAATTGTTGGAGAAGGAAAGATTAGCAAATGAACGGAGAGCAATTGTAGAAGTGTTGTTCTCTCAGAAACCAGACTAAAACACAAAGAAATATTTTTTTCCATCAAGCATAAAGTAAAATCATACATAATCTCACAGATTTCCTGTCTATAAACATATCCATATACTATGAACTATAAAACATTTTCTCATGGATACATGAATTTTATTAGTTTATCTGAAATTACAGCAATTGTGGCTACTGTAATACATAATGTATCAGTCCTTGTCAGAAAAATATTTGTCACATTATTGCAAAAAATTACCTTGTATTTTACCTTCTTCTTGGTATAATTGTGCACCCATAAGACTTTATGAGCCATCTTTCCTACTTCGCAGTCTATCAAAATGCAATCCTGAGGCAGAGGTTTCTTCCCAATTCCCTTAAGACTAAAGATGTTCTGAGTTCCAGCTGTAACATTTCTCAGAATAAGCCTTCCCTATGACACAGAAAGGAGAAAAAAGAAGTTGTTTCATTATTGTCCAAGTCCCCTTTGGCTGCCAAAGCAACTGCTTTAGTTTATTTATCTCAAATCTAGGTGACTCAGAGTGCTTACAAGAAAGGGCTATTGACTTTCTTAGTTCTTTAATAAACCCATTGCTAAACAGAGAAGCAAACCAGAGAAATAAAACCTTTGATTTTAACTTTTTCTAAACCATAAAATTCAACAACATAAAGTTTTCATATTTCTCGGTTTTCTACTTCTTGGCTTCTCCTTGTAAAACAAACATCTCCAAGAACATATTATCTCATGCCTCTTGTCTCTCATCTAATATTTACCTTTGCTCATTGAGTGTTTCCACCTGTCCTGTGAGCACAGGGTTCAGCCTGGAGAAATGGAGACCCAAGGGAACTGCTTTGCTCTATACAAGCACCTGAAAGGAGGTTCTAGTGAGGCAGGGATGGGTCTCTTCTCTATGTCTCAAGTGAAAGGTTGAAAGGAAATGGCCTTAAGCTGCGCCAGGGGAGGTTCAGATTAAACATTAAAAAGAACTCTCTACTGAAAGAGTGGTTAGGCATTGGAATAAATTCCCAGGGAAAGTGGTGGAGTCACCATCTCAAAAGCCATCTGGATGTGGCACTTGGGACATGGTTTAGGGGTAACCATGGTGGTGTTGGGTTGACACCTGGACTAGATAATCTCAGAGATCTCTTCCAACCTGGATGATTTTGTGATTCAGCTAAAATGTTCCCCATAATCATTTGTCGAAGGATTCAAGGCTTTTGGCTTTTAATAATTTTACAATACTGGATGCCTAAACTGCATTATATTTGGTTGGTAACACATGTAGAAGGGTTACTCATGCTTCAAAGAACATTATTTTTTCATCTTTGGCAGTTCACATACTTCAACAGCAACTTGCAGTCAAAATCCCTCAGCTGGGACACAGACAAAGCCACAAATACAGCTTCTTGCTAAAGGTGTTACAGCCTTTGCTCTGCTCATCATTTTAGAATTTGGAATAGTGATTACTCTGATGGCAAAAGCAGCTGTAAAATGTAGGTTAACTTGTAAATAAAGTACTTATCACATAAATTAATTTGTGATGTAGGCATGCAATGAGAAATACTACCTAATTATTTAGGTAATGAAATAGGATTTAATATAAGCATTTGAATTCAGAATAGCAACATATATTTTTGTGATAAAAGTTCAGAATTTTTACAGACTAAATGTAGGATTGAAATATTTCATATAAACTAATGGAATTGAAGAATATAAGAGAAAATTAAATAAGGAAGACATCAAAATAAGTGGCGAGGAAATCTATCGTAACTATTCTTAAGCTTTACAAAATTAGTTCATTTGTGTTTTTACTTCAGATAGTAGTAAATCCTACCCTTTCTTTCTCTCAAGCAGATGTTTTAATATTAACAACTGTCTAACTGCTTACATAATTTGGATACTGGTGATAATTGTATTGGTGAAAGCATCCTTTTCAAATGTTGAAACTCATTTCTCTCTTACCTTTATTACACTCTCAGCAAGGGGCTTGAATGTGAGTGGATACGGAACTGTTCCACCTACAGGCACATTTATTACAGCAGGGCCATGAAAACACTGTCCTTCCAAAACTGCTTCAAACCTCCAGTCCTTATCGGATATGTTAGTCTGAAAGATGCAAATCAAAGTTGCAAATTAGATTATGCATTTAAAATTTTTAGTGTGCATTTCAGCTTTTACTTGCAGCTATCACTGCATCAGAGGACAGTACTCATTTGCTCCAAGTACTGGCTCAGAGTGCCTTTGGGAAGAATAAGGGCAGTGTATCTAAAAAATGAAATAAGCTAATAATAAATCTGTTATTCCTGGCAGCCAGAGAGACAGAACCCTTACTTTCAGCAGCAATACTGTCAGCAGGAATACTCATTAGAAAACATGAGCATGATCTAGCAAATGGTCAAGATGGAATTTGGAAGTATCATTATAAACATTTACAAGTATCTTTATGATGCTGTTTAATGCTTGGCAAAATTCTGTTCCTATACCATCTGTAAAAAATCTTGGTGCACCCCTTTTAAGTGCTGAAGTGGTGTGCTGGTATATATTGCTTCATTTGGCCACTGCAATGTTACAAGATCAGTCTTATGAATTGAGAATTCCATCTCCTAAAGAGATTTACAGTCCTGTGTTCTCAGAATCTGGTCTTTCAAGAGACTAAAGTACTTTAAAGAATGCCTATCCTGAGCAATATGAGCCTGAGCCTATTTAAGAAACGTTTATCTTGCACCCAGATGTATCACAAGACTGCTTGGTTATGGTAAAAAGTGTGGTATTTCATAATACATGCTTAGAGGCTGCCTAAAAGTAGTAAAACTAAAATAAATCTATTCAGCCTCCTACTATTTGAAAGAACCAGATGACCAAACATTCAGTCTGGAAAAAAGAAATATTAACACTCATCTGAAAGATAAAATAAATTGTCACTCATGAGCTAATTCATGTCCTGTCAATTAGAGAAGATTAATCTCATCTGATCTATGAAAAAGGAGGTAATCTTTTGACCTATAATGGTCTTCATCCATGGAAAATTGTATACAAACATCAGAGATAAAGAATGGATTTCAGGGAAAAGAGATGATACTCCAGTCTGTTTCTGTCTATGAAAGTCTCAGGAACAAAGAACCTGTGCTCATCAGAGCTAACCCAGAGCTACCCACATCTGCAGTACCATATATCTAAGGTTTGATCAATATCTTTGATTAATGCTTCTGTGTTAGCTGTTAAATTCCCGAATAATTCGGCACATATGCCTGCATGGAATGCTGAGGTTTGTGTAGTGCCTCAGTTTTACCAAAAACTTGTATCACCATGTCTCCAATTCTGTAATAACAATGGCATCATCTCTAGTAGAAAGCACAAAAGACAAAAGTATGATGTCCTTGTGCCAAGGATAAAATGAAAGGGAAAAAAAGACAGCCAAAGGGATATTTTATTATCATGCTGTTTTATCTCCACAATATCAGGAAAAGCTTTATCCTTTTGAAAACCAGCTGCCCAGGTGTAAAATTGGCAGGTCATCACTCCCTGCTAAATTAACATTTTAAAACTTGGGATAGAAGAAAAAAGTCATCACAATTGGTCTAGGTTCTAGAGGAGGGCCATGGAAATTTGGGTGCTTAAGTTGTTTTATTTTCAGTGATTTCTATTATAATTAGTATCAGATGTTTCCTTTATCCACAGTAGTGATGATTACATCAATATGTAAAACAAATATTTCTTCCTAATTTCCAACACAAAAATTTGTCATCTGAAGAAATGTAGTTGACAAACATGGTCATGAAATTCTTTTGTAACAAGTCATTCTAACTGCAGGAATGTGTCTGAAAGTGTCTTCTAAAGAAAGATATTAAGCACAACCATAAACATTAGAAAATCAAAATAAAATATTTGTTAAATTCTATTCCCTTATACTTCTTCATTAATGGCTTTAATTAATAAATCATCTAACTCCTACAGAATCTCTGCTTAATGTAAAATCTCATCCAAAGCCTGTCAAGTGAATTAATTTAAACACAATTAATGCTAAGGGAGTCAGAATTTCCTTACAGGATTGTAGGTGATTCAACACAAGGTACCTAATATTTGTATTGGACCTATACCTGGAGAGTCTGAAAGGCAGGGATGGAACAGTTACATTCAAATCATGCTTGAGAAAATCACGGAAACTCCAAAAGAAACTAATCACAGATCTCAGATTCAGCTGGGTTCTTATTCTGTTTCTGTCTCTAATTCACTGTGTGGCTTTAAGCAAACCAGCTGACCATTTAATCTGCTCCATTTATAAAGTGTTCCACCTAACACATATTATGACTGTTAGTTTGCTTGTGTCTGTAAAAAGTGCTTTGAACACTAAATATTTGGTTCAAGAAACTAATTTTAGTAGATTGAATAACTCCATCTTCAGTTCCACAATGAACATATCTTTCCCCACTGAATACTTAATAAAATTTCAATGACAAATACAATACTGCTAAAAAAAATATAAAAATATGGGAAATGTTCTGGCAGATGGAGAAACTCCAACTAGAAAGAGTGTATATAGAAATGTAAAGTGAAAAATAAATCCATTTCCATAAATCCAGAAAAGAGCAGAAGAATAAAACAAATCTGCTTAGAAAATGTCGATTTAAACAAGGCAGAAAATCCTTTTACCTTTTTGTGTTATGTATCAGTTATTTTTAGGCTAATATAACATTCAAAGAATCAATGTTTAATACATAAATTATTAATATCTTAAAATTCGTGTGCAAGAAGAGATACCACTGTAATATGGTTTCCTTTAATTTTTTTCTGATGAACTAGTTTCTTGTATACTCTCAATATTTGACAGGGCATACAGCATGGTCTTTCCCCAGATATTCAGTCTTCTTGTTTGAATCTGCACACATTCTTTTGACTACAAAATCTCAGAATAATTTCTCTATAAATTAGCTCACTAGTATTCCTTAATGGCTCTACAATCAAAAGGACGTAGACCAAACTGTAGTTCAGATCTCAGGAAATCTTTTACTGGTTCTATCTCTTAAAGAATCTTTATTCCTCTATTGTAGCTTAATTTCTTTCTCTATAATTTTGGAGGCATTTTTTTGTTTTATTTTAAAGTTCTCTAAAATTTGACTAATAATTTTCTGAGAGAGATGATATTGCACCCATCTTCTCTCTCTGACCTTATTTCTCATGTGCCAAGGGTTTCACAAAGAAGGTATGATACACAAAGAAGATATGATAAATCTATACATGATATACTGGCTATGCTTACCATGTTTCTTAAACTGTATGTAATCTAGTTCTTCTGTTTTATTCCCCAGCATGTCTCCTTTTTTTCCCTTCAGAAATATTTGTATAAATGTGTATTTATTCCCTAGATTAAATAACTACTTTTTTCACTTTCATTGTGATAACATTATTAAATAACAGACTAAAAACTTTGAGAAAACATCAAAATTCAGCACATCAAACTAATAATTAACTTGAAGTAAATTATTTTTCCCAACAGGTTTTACAATATCTACGACATGGACTTTGAGAAATAATCCTCAAGTTAGTATGCATTTCTGCATTTCAGGACTGTAAATTGTAACAGTATTGATCTGAAATCCACTTTTTCAAAATCCTGAATCTCAGTTTAGTTTGCAGTAGAGGAGTGAACTTACAATTGGAATTTCCTGAGTCACTGTCTGGTAAGCTGGAGTCAGAAATTCGAGTTGTGCATCAGCCTGGTCTGCATTCACCACACACTCAATCTCATAGACACGAATATCCCAAGATGACTTCAGAACAATCTGACAGTGGTAGCAACCAGCTTTCTCAGGAGTGAATTTTATAGGAAACTCAACTGTGTCATTTCCATCTAAAAAACCAAAACAAAACAAAAAAATGTGCTGTTGTAAAGCTTTTCAGGAACATTGAACTCACAAGCAGAATCTGAAGAGATTTCCAATAAACTGTAGGAGAGTCTTCCCAGCAGTACATGCAAAAATTTCCAAGAAACACCAGAATTTTAGGAGTGTTGCCCTTTTAGTTAGTTTCCTAAAAAGGGTATATTGAAGTATGCAAACAATATTTTCTATTAGTTTTAGTAGTCCACAGATAAAGATATTTTAAAATATCTCTTAAATCTAGTAGAAGAATTTAACATATATGAATTTCTGTAAATATTTTAAAAACTATACAAGCTACTACACATTTTTCAACAGCTACCATCAGAAATATCAGTGATAGTACAGTATATTTGGTGAGTATCCCAACCATTACTGAAATTGTGTTAAATGTAGTAGTCCTCATGACAACTCATTAGACCTTTTTCTATGTCACATTTTGGATTGAAAGTCTGAGTTTCAAAAACTGACAGGGGTGTCTAAGCTGAAACAGATTCATGCAAAGTCCCATTTTCCCAATCTGCAGCACACAGGGAAAATTCTCCACTGTAATCTCCAGAGCAAGGAAGAAGGAATACAAATGCAAAGCTGTCCATCTGCACAGAGCCAGGTCTAACAAGTGCTGAAAAGATTTCCTCCTCTGTGCTTGCTTACAGAAAAGATCAGACTCTTCCACAGGATTTTAATTAGCCCTTGTAGGATACATTCCCAAGGAAAAAAGAAGGTACATGAGGAACTCCAGTGATGGCCACAAAGAGTTTCCCAGTCCCAGAGTCTCAAAGAAACCTGAAAAACCACATGAAGACTGCAGCTGTAAAAACTGTAGTTTTACATGTGACAAACACTGATTCTCTTCACTGTTTTCCAAGGTTAGAAACCAATGCCTAAAGCTGGAAAACTATGATAAATCAGAGACAAGGTTCTGTTGTACTTGAAGATAATACAGTGTACAGAAAGATCCAATGTATTTCTGCATGAGTTTTACTTTCTTGCACTACGTGGAAATTTTAATTACCAATAATTAGTAATTAAATAAAGTTTTAAAATAAGCCTAATAACTAAAGTTATTTTTGCCTGAGTTGGACCCATATTTGAAAGACACACTTTCAGACAGAAATGCTTCCTATAGAAAAATTTTAAAAGAAAAATATTAAAAAGTGCATTGCGTAATTACAATGTTTAGTATGACATTAGTAAAAAAATGGTTTCTTACGCATTTAGAAAATATATTTTAGAATAGGTCAGTTGAATAACTTAAATACTATGCTCAATTACAATGAATCAAAACGAAAGCAAGTAAATTAGTTACATTTATTCAACATGATAAATATGTTCTCCAGTGATACATGGCTCCTCCAAATCAAAATAACTACAGAAATCATTTGTCTTCAAATTATAGGTTTTTATCACTTCAAAATGTTTTTTAAATACCATAAAGTAAACTGGACTTAAAAATATCTCAATTTAGCATGTTTTGTTCTCCCAGTCTCATTGGACATTCAACAAAGATTAATTTAGGGATATATTAAATTATTTAATGAACATAATCCATGGGGCCACAACTGGCTTACCTAACAATTTCTGAGAAAAGAGTGTCAACAGCAAGCCATGAGCATAATTTATTTAATTCCCATGTAGCAGGAAGCAGAGCCTGCATCCATCAAAAAGAATGAGGCTGGAAACATTTCTTCAACAGTGGAAAGTCAGGCAGAGCAATACAGGGGTTTGCTACAGTTTTCATTCTACTCAGGATTTTTATTCTTTCACAGGAAGCATTCCATGCGAAATAAGCTGACAGTTTTATTTTCTAGATTTATGTCTGAAAAATGCCTACAGGAAACATTCACTTGATCATATTGGGTTTTGTTATGAGACAGTTGTCAAAACAGAGGTATTTGCAAAAACAAACTTTCAATCTGTGTTCAGTTTCACCACATATTTTTGGAGACCTAAATCACAGCACATAGGCACTGGTCATGTCCTCTGGCAACTGCCTGGCCTTTTGTGCCATTTATTTAATGAAAAATACAACCTGATCACCAGAACTAACAAAGTTCGTGTCCTCTGGTTCTTAAAAATCGTATACGTCATCATTTTAGATGTGCCTGAATTCAAATTAAATCCTCTAACTGCATTAGCCTACAAACAGTACCTTTCAAAGAAAAGTAATGACAGTTGTTTTGACATTAAAATGTAAGAAAAAATATATTCTGTAAGGTAGTAATAATCGCCCTTAGTAATCACTATTTAGCCTTATTACAAATTCTGGGAGGATGAAATGAGTAAAAATAGAAATGTTACTCTTCCACACCACAATCTGTTGTCATATTGGACATTATATTAGCTTTTGTTCAGCAATGGTGAGTCTATCTATTCAGAATTTCAAAGCTAAATTTCTCACTGAACTTATCTCAGTCTCTAACACTATGCATGTCTCACAAACAACTGGTTAAATTAACTTCAAGACTGACTTTGCAGGTATGGATTCCTAGAAGGCTAAATAAGCAACCATAATTAAGAATCCAGACTCTTCTGACTTCTGCTTTTATATTAGGTCTTCAAATGAGCTAATCTGAATTAGAACATCACTCAACATCGTAGTCTTCAAAAAGCAGCTACTCTTTTGTATCTCTTATTGAGTGCTTAAAAGTTTTGAAAGTTTTTGCTGCAAAGACTGCACTGAATGCATAAGAAAAGATTACATGGAGAGAGGATAAAAACCAAGTCTTTTATACCATTACTGCAAAATGGAAAGTTAATGCCTAATTAGTAATGAAGACTTATAGTGAAAAGATATAATAAGAGCTAGCTAGAGATTTCTGTGGTGCAGCGCCTTTCTTTTTGCAATCTAGATTTCTCTGAAGAAAGGTTTTCTTTAAAAAAAAAAAAAAGAAAAAAGTAAGTCACTAGTAGCTTTACCAGAAACCACAAAGAAGCCAGAACAATCTGAATAAATTAACTGCAGGAACAATTATTGAGAAAGTAGAAAATATCTAACAATAACTGATAGTTCTGTAGAGAAAGATTTTTCATCGTTCACTGGGTAGAAAGGCGGGGGGGGGAAAGAAAAACAGGAGAACTCTTCTTGGATATTCTTTGTAAGTGTAACAGCAGGGAGCCAACATTATCAAATCCTGTAGGAAGAGGCAGCAGAACTCTAATATTAGCTTGTGATACTGAATCTAAATTATATAGCAAGGTGGAGCAACATTTTTCATTGAAAAGTAGTTGTAAGCTTTACTTATTTATATGGACAATTTTGATGTGAAATAGTACCACCCAGCCATCAGAAAAAAGGTTTTAGTTTCATATTCATGCCTAGGTTTTCCATATTTATTTTTATAAACATAGAAAAACCCTAAACCATATGGAATTACAAAAAGCATTCCCAGTGCATGCTTGCCTTAGAAAATTTCAATAATGCACATGCTAATAAAATACAGAAATTGCTTATCAGGACACACTTGCTTAGGTGCATATCCATTTGAAAATTAAAATCTACCATTACCATACAGAACCGCACAAATCTATCATTACTGATGGAATATATTTGTTTATTTATCATGCCATGTTTGGATTTGGTTATTATTAAAAGGTATAAAATAAGGTATTGATATGCTGGTTCTGATGTGTGCTGCTGCAATGCTTAGAACAGCAACTGCTATCAACCATTTACTCCCATATATTTTCTTTCCTTTAAAAAAGTGTCTAGTCCAAGGGTATTGCTATCAGGTTTCCTGCTAATAGCACAAGTGGTAATCTAAAGTAATTTCAAGTCAGAAGATTGTAAATAAAAAAAAAAGTCTGAAAAAAGAAAACCAAATTAACAGGAAGCCCTCCTTATGAAGTACTCGGATGCTTTAGTATTGATGAACTGTCACAGGCAGCCCTGTGAGGTGCTGTGTCTCAGGAACTTTTATGTTTCCATTACTCAAAGCAATTGTCAGTGTCATGTTACAATGTATAAAGGCATAGCCTGTTCCAGAACAATCCAGAATTTCCTAATTCTGGGATAAATCTATATTTAATACCAAAACACATGTTATTGGATGTTTCTCTTACCGTTAGAATTTCACCAAATAATTCTTATATTAAGCCCTAGCCTGACAAATGGAATTAAAGTGTGTATGTTAGGAAAGCTTCCACTTTCTTTTTTAAAAGTTTGAGTGATAGAAAGAATTTTGTTTCTCTTGAATTTTTTTATATTTGATAAATTTCTTCTTCACGTATTTTTACAAGAACCATAAAATGTTTCATTACAAATCTCTGTCTTATGTAGAAAGTGCTCTACTTTCTGCATAGAGCACTTAACAGTCTTCACAGTCAGACATATTTTCCCTTTCTAAATAATTACAGGTAACCTGAAAGGAACCTCTTTCCCTCAGAGATCATGGAGTCATCAAGGTATTCAATCTTTCAAGACCTTGAAAATTACTATAGAACTTGGCTGAATCCTTCCTCATTTGCAACCTTTTGTCTAAAGTGCAGAACAAGAGCTGGATGTGCTGTTCCAGTATTATGTTCTCCTTCATAATATAATAACAGTACTTTTCCATACCTGTACTGTATTTTTTAAGTTATGCATTCAAGGACCCTTGTTTTTCAAAATTTTACAAAAAATCCTTTGATGAAAGAACAATGGAGCTTGTGTCAGAAAAACACAGAGTGGGAAGTAAGGCTGACAGCTTTAGCTCACACTGTGAGATAGGTACTCTGCTGCTTTGCAGATTTCTCAAACATTTTGGGAGACATCGCTGCAAAACAAACTCCTTCTCTCCTTTCTACCTATGTTATTTCATCTTTGATAAGTAACATTATCTAGCATAAAAACCGTGTTGTTCAAAGAAACTCAATTGCCTAAGAAGTTGTTCTGCTTAGTTAAAACTTAGTCAAAGCTGATTTTTAGCTGATTAACTGCTGAAAAGACAAATAGCACTGACTTTTGCACTGGTTTTCACAGTTCTGCTCAAAAACTCACAGCTAATTCCTTCTTTCCTAACTACAGAGGCTGTTGTGCTGCTGGACAGAACCACCAAGTATACAGCAGAAAAAATGCTTGTAAAAGATATTCAGAGATAATGTAATAGCTCTGAGTTACCAAACATGGTCCTTACCTGCAGGAAGAGCATACTCATTTACACAGTTTTGTAAAATAAGACTGCATGGCAGAAAATCTTAAATAATTATAGAGATTATAAACATATGCATTACAAAGTCAGTGACACTGGGAAGTAAAGCTACAACTCAAGTTACAATTCTGAGCCTTAAAACCAATCTATTCAAAATTTCTTGTGCTTTCACCTTTAGAAGGAACTTGTTTGGTTGGTTTTGCATGCTACTTCTCTGTTGCTAAAATTTGGAGCCATTATTTTAATCCTACTTGACATTTTATCCTTTTCATTCTTTCACAGCATCCCTCTAAGAAAAAGGCAACATACTTCAATGTTGCAATATATTTCAATTATGCCTAAGATGACTTTCTGAATGTTCAATCTACCATTCTTTGGTTTTTAAAGCATTGCAGTTTTACTGTCAATTAACTTTCTCCTGAGCTATATATGGAAATTGAATTATTTCCCAGGTTATTTCTGATGATAGAGGGAAACTAAAGCTCAGAAAGATCCCATTTGAGACAAAGGTGAACAACCACCACGGTGTGGTTAAACCATGGTGGTTTAGCGTGCAGACTCTGTTCCAATATATAATTACATATTTGCTTGCACTAAAATTCATAGCTTATAACTATCTAAGAGTTCCAACTAGCTTCTTTCACAAAATCTGTGTCACAACAAACGCTTTGTGTAATCTTCCCAATTAGTGAAATGTAGTTAACATTGAGCAATAACTACTGGTTCCTAAGGACTCCCTTTCTGATGACTCTCCAATGATGTATAAACATTTGCTAAAGGTTTTCAATCTTGGAAATGTATTATTTTAGATCTATGCAATATGGGTTTTGAGCAAGATATCACACTTTAAGGTAAGCATATTGTACTCTTTTTACCTATTTGATCTGTAAATAGTGCCAAAAATGTAATAAGGTCATTTAACAAGATCCATTTTACAAGAAAATGTTTTGAGTGGCATTGATTTTTTTACCTTCTAATTCCCTGTTGGCAGAGTTCTTAAAACACTGGTTGCACACTTCCTGCTACTGCAGTCTGAGAAATTCTGATCCAAAGATTGATTTTAGTCAGCTTGCTTCCACCTTTGTTTTTCTTCATAATTACAACACTGTCATTTTTTTCAGAGAACCAGCTACTCCCACCTTGAGGAAAGCCACCACCATGGCTAAAATATTACTGCTTTCTCAAACAATAATGTCAAAATTTTCACATGAGACCAATGGTTTGCCCAGGACCACCATCTGGGGACTTCTGTCACAATATTATGCTTTCTAAGAGTCTGTAAATCCTCCTGTGTCTCCTCATTAGTGCAATAAGTACACTGAATCAGCTGGCACTGTCTTCTGACTGAGCACATATTTGTTTTCATGATATTCAGCTGGTTATCTCAGCTTCCCTTTCTGGATGTTCTTTACCTCACCACCTCTCTGAATTCACTACAAAAGCCCCATTTATTTTTCTGCATCATCATTTCTACTTCCTCATGTAACAATTACCCATCCTAGAAAGAAAAAATATATATCAAAAAGATTGTATACACTGCCATATGATCAAATTTCTTTACATTGATTACTCTCCTCTTTCAAGTATTTGTTTAATATCCTTTGATGAATAAAGAAGCAGCATGAACTAAGAGAAAAATAACTACTTCCTTACTGTAATGTCATTCATTTACTACATTCTTGACTATAATGTTGTTTATTCACTATATTCTTGTAGTTAATACAATGGAATTAATATTCTACATTTTTCAGATATATTTCAACATTTTTTGTTCACATTTCAACTTTTAAAATAATTTGAGCAGTTGCTAAGCAACAGTGATCTCTCAACTGGTCAGTTAAGAACTTTTGTTGTGAGACCATGATGGAGATCCTGTCAGGACATCAGATCTGTGTGTGCAGAGTTGACTCTCTTTCCCCCAGCTGTTATTCTGCTCTTCTACAGTGTAATCCAAAGAATTTCCTAAAACACTCAACAAAGCCATTAACTATTTTTAGTTCACCTCTGCAGTAATTATGACACAAACACATTGTTAACTTGACAATGAAAGAGTTTCAGCTAGGATTTAAATATCCTGCCACACATGACATGTTCCAGCCTTCAGTCTCATATCTATTCTACAACTTCTACTGACTGCTCATCCTGTAGTCCCTCACCAATCTCGCTTCTAATGCTGCCATAACTATTGCTGCCATCTTCCTAAAAACACACCCTAAAATATTTTATAGCAGTTAAATTCTATTTCAGTTAAAGTATCTGTAATAAAGACTCCTCAGAAAAAAAATGAGATTCTTTTTATTATTCCAGAATAGAATAAAAAAACCCCAAGATATTGAGTGTCAAAACAAAGACCATGAAAGCACAGCTGATTCCAGTGACACTTGGAGAAGTGAACTGCAAAAATATACAGAAGGACTCCATTGATTAAGAACTGATGAAACAAAAATAGATATGGACTGTGTATAATTCAAGTTTCTACAATTTTGCAGGAAGTTCCCCCTGAGACTCCTTTTCTCCAGACTCCAGCTCTCTTAATGGCTCAAGTTGCTTGTGAGTTTTTTAAAGAAATGCGACCTGGAGTGTTTTATAGGTTTAAATAAAGCATTTTTTAAAAATCAACAAGATTTCTGTATGAAATTTAAGATACTAGAAAAATTAGAGACAACAGACTGACCAAAGATGGCAAGATCACTCTGAAAGGTAATGCAAACCTGTTCATTCACCATTAACTGAAATCTCCCTCTGGCTGACTGAAGGCAAACAAGAAAAGAGATGTGATATGAGTGGCACAATTTGAACACAGATAAGTGCTGGATATGAAGTGGAAGGGAGCAATGGGAAGGGAGCACAAAGTCAGGATTTGTCAGATAAACAGAGCAAATTAATTTGTCTTTTAGAGCAAGTCGCCTGTGCTTATGTGCCTTTGAGAAAACCAATAAACCAATGGCAGGTGGAAAGCATTGGTTTGAGCTAATATTTAGAACTTGGGTAGTGACAAGAAAGGCAAATTTGATCAATAGTGGAAAGGAAAGAAAGATCATTTTCTGGATCTACTCAGGAAAACCTTAAAAAATATTATCTCAGCAAAAGAATACAGTCAAATTCATCACCTTTAAGACCATTACCTGTTTGCTGAGATGTAGGGCATTTGTCTGATGAAGGGTCCAAATTAACTCTGGCTGAAGATAACACTGGAATAGAGAACTTTTTAGGAACTTTGAAGAGGTTTTTTATGCTCACTTCTACATTGTAATTCACATACTTCAGCTCGGAGGGGTGCCTGCGAGGCTTCAGAAGTGCACGTCTCTGCAAGTGAAGCAATCATGTATACAGCTCAGCAATCACATAAAATTTTCAGGTTGAGAAATGCAAAAATGTACAGGCTTAATTCTAAAACTGAACTGGTAATTAAGAAACTTACATAGCAATTTTGAGTGATCCTTCCAAATAAAAATTGACTTGTAAATATTTTTAGACATCATGGAACTGAAAATTTTGTTTAAGAATAATGCATTTTGAAATTTACAGTAAATCCATAGCCTACCCAGAAATAATCTCTGCTAGCCTTCATGCATATGCAGGAAAGGCAAGAAAGGAGAAAAAAAAACATAAAAAGAAAAATATTTTGTATCAGTGATACTAAGATGCTTCTTCTCCTACTTCATAAAGTTTCTGAGTAATAAGAAGCATAAAAAAGAAAATTTTTGTTTTATTTTGTTTTTTTGGCAAGGGAAAACTATTAGCTGATATTTTAATGTTGAAAATGTATTTTAGAAATATGGATATTTAGAACGAATTCTAGAGACAAGTTAGCTCCTCCTCTTGGTAAAAAGCATTGCTAATCAACAGCATGAAACTTATTAGCAAAGGATTAGCACAGTATATTAAGGCAAGCTCAATATAGGCATTTGAACCTCTTAATGAACTTAATTTGACTCCTGTAGGATAACATTATAAAAATACTGCAATGATTTAATACACTACTTGCTCAAAATTGCCATTTTCAATCCAATAACACACAATAATTGCAATGCTCAAGAGTAATTGTAAGCTGAACAAATTTTAAACCGAGCATGCCTTTTTTACAGACAAGGCTTTGAACTAATGACTGCTGTGAATTATCTTGAAGCAAATCTAGGCAGAGATAAATATGACAATATTCATGTTTTGCTAAGAAAACTGGTTTATTATTAAAGTCTTTTGCTGTAAAATACTGCCAGGACTGCAGGTATCAAAGTACATATTTCAGTAGGCAAATGCAGATTTGTGTTTAGTAAGAATGCAAATCCATTGAGGGAATTCAAAAATTCAATTTAAAAGGAAAAGCAATTGTTCTTAAAGATCACCATTAGGTGCAAGATGGTCAAATTACTGTTTAAACCAACTAGACTTGGGTTCTGCATTGCGTTGATGGTGGGGTTTTTTTGTTTGCTTTTTTCCCCCCTGTTTTAGTACAAATCCCATATTCCCTTGCTGGTTTTAGAAAGCAGATCCACACTCTGATATTGCTTTATTTTGATCATTACTCTACCCTTCCATAGTGTTAATACAGTGTTAAACAAAAAGTATATATGGACTTTGGGAACCTGTTAAGATTTAGCTGTTGATTTAGGGGTTTTGGCACAATAAATATAGAAACAGATAATTATTCAAAATTCTTGTTCTATGAAGAGCAACTGGACAGATGTATGTGACTAAAAAATTCACATCAAACCAAATTCTTAAGATAGTTCTTGTACTAATGTATTTCACACCCTTGTACAAATATAATTTACAGAAGAAACAGGAAAAATTGTTATGTGAGTTGAAAAACTGAGCTCACTATTCATTCATTTCTATCATACAGGACTGGACTCTGACATTACTCCCTCTCAAACCCACAGAAAATTAATTTAAAAAATCAATAGGTACAAATAATTCAATTGCCATATTAATTGCAAGTTCACTTCTCTCTGATAGGAATGAAATGCCAGAACACTTTGCAGTGGAAAAAAAAATATCATTCTAACTTGTAATGGGAGGTTCCTAACCAAAAGAATTATGCACATTTACGAGTTTAAATTTGACTTGATCTTCTGCATAATCAAATAAATTTATACCTACAAATGATTTTCATAACTAGATTATTTTCCAACACTGAAATAAAAATCCAACATGATTATATAGTTTTGTTAAATTTTAATTGACAATATAATTGTAAGATGACCTTTCCTGGAGCACTGAACACATTTGAATTATAATTATCTTGGAGAAATGTCTCATTATTAAAAACTCACTGAAAGACTTTTTTTAAAGATCTTTGTTCATGTTATCTCATTTTTCAATATAGGTTAGGAAAAAACCTAGTTGGTTAGTGTTACATAGTTTATGAACACCTTGTAAACAAGTAAAGGATGAAAACATTTTAATGAGAGACCTTGTGGAAAAAGAAAACTCTGCAACCATATACAAGACTAAACTTTGCTGCCTCATAGGTTAACATTTCCAAGAGAAAATGCCAACAGAATTCAGATTAATGTTGCAATTTTTAAGATTTTTGTGGGCAGTGAGAGTTAAATAAAATTTAATGTTTTTTAACTCTCATGATCAATGCAGATCTAAGGCCTCTCCATTGCAAAAAGACAGGTTCCAAGCACTTTTACTTCATCAGCCTGATGGTTCATGTCATTCCAAGTGTAGAAGTCTTATTACCAGCTAATAGTATTTGCATTCAGTTCCCAGGATTAATTCTTTTCTTAGAATAATTTTTTGAAAAATGAATGCAGGGTATATAAAGCATAAGAGTTAAACCTGATCTTGAAAGTCTCAAGCACTTTTTGATTTTCCAAGGTATTTTCTCAGGTGTGCCACCTGCACTTTCTGTGTGTGAAGGGTGGTAGATTCTGTTACAGGGTTCTGAGGCACCTCTCTCCTTCCTTGCACACTACTGTTCTTCAAATCCTAATTTAGCACCATTTCTTCCTTCTAGAAATTAACTTCTAAAACTGTGTCTCATGAATAAAGAAATTTATTATCTTGGTCTCTCAGAACCCCTGTGATCAATCGTGTTTGCCACCTCCCTTAATCCCATATCAAAAGATAAGTGATGTAATATAGAAGACATTGGTCTCACTTGTAAATTCAGCAAATTGAAATCTGACCACAGGTCCTTTTCTGAAAAGTTCATTGCCACTCAAATGTATCTAATGCAATTTTTTATTTCCATTCTCTGCTCAAGGACACCATGACTTTTCCTTCAAAAAAAAAACCCACACCAGTTTTTTTAAAAAGCAGATTCTTTACACTGAGTTTACAAATTTCCATAATCATACAGGAGAACAAAAAAAATCCTTCTTGATCCCTGGATGTCTATGAAGAGCACAAACTCTGAAGATCCAAGCTGGACAGGAGGAGGATGAGACTTTGCCACATCAGCTGAACAGCAGAAGCCACAGCCCCTAAGTGCACAAGGTCTCCATTCATTTTTCCTTGATCAAAACTCAACCTCACCAACACCACTATGGTGTACTAAGATAAAAACACTCCATGTTGCTCAGACACATGGACAGCAAGATAGAAAGGAAATGCACAATGTCCTAACATCTGGAATATGGCAAATGTGGTGTCCACACTCAGACGAGACGTGTTCAAAAGGAAGCAAAACAGGCCTAAGTAAATATTTGTAACAGTTTAACAATGAGGACACACCTGGACACAGCAGAAAGTTAAAACTTTAGCTCTGGGATTCTTGTACAACAGGACTTTTCCTATCATAATGTCTGGTTATACAAGGAGATTATTGGCATCTATGAAGAAAAACTCCTATATCTAGCAATTGGGTCTAAAACTAGGCCTGTTATTTTGTGTCTCATTAAACTGACTACAGCATCCTCTCCCTCACGCTCCCAAGTAAATGAATTCTCATATTGTTATTTCTTTTTTCTTCACTTTCCTCTATTTACTACATTTAGCAACTTCAGTCTAAACAGTCTATTATCTTTTTTCCAATATCCCCTTCCTTCCCTTGTTATCTATGTTCACCTAAAACCCCCTTTTCAGCTTTCTCTTATTCATCATTATTAATTATTCAAAAAATAGCCTTTGTTAATTATTCACTCTAACACCAAATCCAACCTTAACAGTGTTTGAGAGTTCCTATATTATTCTATATTCTCTTTAGTACTACTCAAAATTGTTTTAGGAGGAATTAAAATAAAGAAATACTCAGGAGGTAAGAAGGGAACACAATTTTATGGGAAAAATATTTTTAAAACCATTATTTGTTACTAATTCTAATAATTAAAACAATCAAAATAGATCTTTGTTCCTTATGGCAACAAAAAGAGTAAAAACATAGTAAAAAAGTACCTAGGATTTTAGCTGTGTATAGATGGGTCGAGTAAACAAATTACACCTCTAGTTACTGATTATGCATATCCAGTTTGACTCCAAAAACACAGCTCACCTTTACTACTGTTTTCTATGTGACTTAAGTAAACATGACTAAAATTTACAGTTTAGAGAGACTGGAAAACAAACAATTATTTAGTTATTTATTCTTCAATTTGACAGGTAAAAAATGGACCAAGTGGTACTAATGTAAGGGTATTTTCCCTTCTGTCCATCTATTGTCTGACATGATCCTACCTGCAGGAAGCAAGTAGAAAGGTGGAACAGAAATCCAAAAGAGAACAACAGATTTCCAAAGATTCTGGATTTATCTCTAACCTACATCATCTGCCCCAAAGGATTTTGTGAGCCTAAATAATTCACTGAACCACAGGTGCTGTAGATCAGCTTTTTTTTTTTTCTTTTTTGCTTTTTTTTTGTGGGGAAAGGGGAAAATTTAGACCACCTAAAACCATACTTCAGCTCAAATTTTCACTGCAGAACACCAACCCCCCTCAAAAAAGGTTTCTCCAGTTAATACAACCAGAATTTCTAAGTTATCACCTTTAAACAAATAGTTGGCATGAATTAATCACAAAAAGTTTTTAAGAATATGTTTCATATTTCAGTCTGCATAGTAGATATTGAGATTTTTTTTAATGTGTAAACTCTTTTCCATACCAGTAGCAGAACTCCACCCCTGTATTTGTCATAAGCAAGTATAAGACTTTGTATACATGGAATAAAATACTTCTTTCTGCACATTAGTTTCATTTCTCACAAGATAATTCATTCAGTGCTAGTATCCACCATTATAAGGTGTTTTATAAGGCAATTAAGCTAATTATCCTCCCGTCTTCCACAATAAATGTGGTTTTAGAACTCACATTGCATTTTAGCATATCTAGAGGTGCAAGGACTGTTCCTATCATATTCAGTCTTGATCCCATCCACAACTACAGAGCAGTTAGACTTTTCAAGTATTTGCTAAGTCACTGTGATATTAAGGGACTTGAATTATAAAAACTCAATAAAATGTTACCAGAGCCATGGATTAGCCACAATCCCAAAGGAGACTACTTGAGTCTAAATTACATGATTACAATTGTTGTCCCACTCCAAAAGCACAAGAGATTAGAGTTATGTTGTAATTTTCCCTCATTTTATTTGTTTTCTATTACTTTTCAAACAAAAGGCATAAATTTATCAGCATCAAATCACAAGGGAAAATTCTTTTCCTCTTACTTGGGGAACTGTCTAATTGGAAAGCTGGAATAACATTGCTGCCCAGCAATTGGTCTGAGGTCAGGCACCATCAGGGCACAAGGGAAATTAAAACCCACAGTGAGACCATCATCCTAAGAAGGCTATGCTGGAATTCTTCATGAGGAAAATCCTTCTTTATTTGGCAATAGTACTATTATAAATTTATTCACAAGTAATAACTGATTGTTTAATGCATTACCTTGGGAGAACTTTTTGTTTCTAGATTATGAAATCTTAGGAAAATATGTATAAGTTGGAATGATGCATAAGAGGGGAGCTATATCTTATTAGAAAAACTTGTGGCTTTTCAAAAGTATTTTGCATTGATTGCAAGACAAAGAGAAATCTCCTTCATTTATTCTCAAGGCCTTTTATGTTGGGAGAAAAAAAATCCATTTCTTACAAAAATATGCATAATGAAGGCTACTAATACAGATACCTTTTACATAGAATATGAAAGCTTTTTTAATCAACAGGTATTTTTCAGAAGCAAATTGTTAGTACTTTTCTTAACTGCAGTCAAGTTTTCTTAAAGGAAGGACATCATAATAAGCATGGGGTGACAAAGTAGCTTCAGAATGAAAATGTAAAATATTGCAGTGTCTGAAGGGGAATTGGGCTCAGTAACTGTCAGATTACAGATGTGTGAAAAAAATATAACTTCACGCTATTACCTGAAACATAAAAACACTTCAGTTCTATAAATCAAGGACAACTAAATTTAATTGCAGCACCAGATAACTGTGTTTCTCACCTGTACCCTGGACAGCCCCAACAAGGCAGTTGCAACTCGAACGCTGCTGCTCTGCAGAGTCCCAGTCATCAATCTCCTTTCATACTCAACAGCTGACATCTGCTGCTGTGCAGCCAGAGCCAGGGCCCTCTCTCTTGACTCATTGATCAATGGAATCTTCAGATTCTCCTCCAGAGTCTGACCAAGTCCACATTTAAAATATAAAACTGTCTGTGCTGTGCTTTCATCTGTTAAAAAACCCAAAGAAATGAAAGAGTAAAACAAAACCACACACCACATTTATCAGCAGCTGGTGGAACTGCAGAGAGTATTTAGAATTTCTAATCTCCAAAGAAAATAAGAATACAAAATTCCTTCAAAGTTTAGTTCCATGCTATTAACCTAGTGCATGCCATTTATTACCTATAATACCTTATTTTTCAACAAAATAGGGATGTAAGAAATAGCAGACTGAAATGCAACCCAAAATTTAGCTAATAGGGCTAAGAAATAGCTACTAAATTAGCTAACAAAAATATCCCAGACTATAGTGTTACTACCATTATGACAGCATTAAAAGTTTACCCAAAGTCTTTCTGCTACCTACACAACAAAGCCATGCTTTTACCCCTCTAGAGGATGTTTCATCTCCTCTAAAAGAAACCATCAGAAATTATTTCAAGCAGCAGTTGTCAATTATTTCAAGTTTCAAGTCCTACACTGTTTCTGAAATAGCACTGACAGGAGTTTATCCCTCACTGTTTAAGGACAAAAGCATTGGAATATCACATCACTGCACACAAAACTCATGTTTTAAAGCTAGAAAAATTCTAGATAAAGATGATTTGTCCTGGTTCATATGGCGAGCAACCTATAAATAGAAGGAGGAAATAAGAAAAATTATGAAAAAATATTTGTGTAGACTATGTTAAAAACAATACAAGATGAAGATCACCAACAACCAGCTGATGCTCTGAAGGGAATGGACTGGAATACATTAGAGGAAATATTGCATATATTCATTATAATGTATGTTTTACACTTCACTATAAACAACTATTTCTTTTTTTACCACATATATTTAATAATTTTAAGAAAAATCCATAGAAATAAAAGAATATTTTAAAAAATATTTGCTCTATTTTACTTTTCTCCCTTCTATTCACTGTACCTTCTGAGGTAGCACGCAAAACATTTGGACTATCCAAGGCAGGCAATTCTGAAGCCAGAGGTAAATCACCTATTCCCTCAATCAGGTATACAAACTCTCCAATCTGAAACACAAGGACACACATCCACACACTTCAGAGTGCAATTCATGCAGAACAGACTGCAAAGTATTACAACAGCTAAGATATCCTACTAACATCTAAGATCTGACCTGAGCAAAAATTTACATATTCAGGAGAACTGTTTTTTTTAAACTATGCCTAAATATAAGAAAACTACTATTTCAAGACATGATGTGATAATAAGCTCACTTTAATTGATAATATTAAATCTGAAAAGTCAAAAAATTTCAAAAATCAGATTTCTTTCTCCGCATATAATTTAACTGAATAAGGGTATCCTGACCCATAAATACAGCAAAATTTTGAATACTAAATATCTACTACAGTTACATAAAATTAAACATGTTCATGAGCAACCTTCAGTGCTCTTCATCATTTCAATTTTTTTTAATGTTTGCAATAGTTTTGAGGCAGAAACATTTCTCTAGAAATCAAAAAAAAATTGAAGTCAAGGCAGGTTAGCATCATGTAAAAATTCTCCTTTAAAAAAAAGTTAGTAAATCTTAATTATTGCATTAAAAAATGTAAAATCTACAGAACAGAAGCTTGAAAGTAACTATAAACATAACCTAGAACAAAGAAAGACATTTTTCACAGAGAAAAGGATAACTTAACTAGTAGAGAAATAACAGTTTGGATTATAGATGGGCTAAAAGAGTAGGGTGCAAATGAAAGACAGAAGAGTATTTTTGAAGAAAATAAAACTCACTGAAAGTACTCCAAATTTAAATCCACAATCAGAATGGCCCAAACTAAAAAGACATCTAAGCTAGGTACCATACACCTATCTGAACTAGGCAAGAGATTTAACATATATTCTGCATATATTGCTTTGATAATTTCTTTGTGTTTGCCACAAGTTTTTTTCAGACAATTTTAGCTTTTACTGATTGCAAGATAAAGAATTAAATGCCTCTGCAACAACTGATATTATTTGAACATTCTATTGCTCTTTATTTCCATAAAACTTATTCTGTAAAACTCTGCCCTAAAAACATATATTCTGTCTTTTATTCTTCATTCCAGATATTAAGGAAATAATTTATTTAAATAATTTAGTGCATCTGCCAATTAACACAATGTTTTCCTTTTAATACTGCTCAATAGCATAAAAAAACCCTGGTTTTCCCTTTGCCTTCATTTGTAGTTTTATCAGCTATTTATGTTAAGGCTGAAAACACTACAATTATATTTCTGACCCAGCAGAAGGAAAGCTATTCAACTTTGATGGTATTTTTTCCCCTTCCTTGATTCAAGAGCTCACACAAATCTTCCTTGAGAAGGATTAAAGAAACCTCCAGCAAAATTGGATTCTCACACACAAACAGCCACTCCTGGGAACCAATTTAAACAGGAATTATTCCTGTTTGACACAGTGATTTGGCTCCATAAGGGCCCTTAACAAGCTCACAGCACACACAACTCATTTTAGGAAGGTGCTGGTTGCTGGGATGCTATTCTGCTATCAGCTACTTTTCCTGCCCTTGCTGAAATCAATATGTTTATAGGAAGGAACAAAATTCCCCAATTTCCTCTGTGCTTTGAAGAATTCTGGGATTTTGATCTCCACAGAATGCAAATCCTGGTTTTTTTCCGCTGAGCTTTTTTCCTGATGCTTTGGAACAGAATGGATATTTCACTGAACTTCAAGAGTTTAGTTTGTATGCCCATGGTTTTAATGATTTATATTTCCATTTTCCATCAGCTGCAAACAGGACAGCATCAGCATTGTGCAGGGTTTACTGTTAATGAAAATAGTTGATAAAAGAGCTGTTGAACTTTCTATACAATCCCATTGCTATCTGATGTTTCAAAAGAATACTAGGAGTTTGTAGTTGCCTGAGCAAGACAGTAAGTAAAAGCAACAGATAGCAAAGTGTTCTTTCAATAAACAATTTACTTTTATACTAGACACTTAGCTGTAACAGTCTGGACTGACACTCTTAAACTATGATATAATAAATTATTATCATTAAAAATTCCGTGTTGTTCACATTTAAATTACCTCCCGGAAACAAAGATATATTTTTTAAAAAGCAACACAGTTATGTTTAACAATATTTAATATCTTCTATGAAAAGATCTATGCTAAAAAACTGAAAAATTTCTGTTTCAATTTTTCTTAAAGAACAATGAAATGCTAAAACAAATCATTGAGAAATGTGCTAAATGGCTTGTGCTGTTATTTCAAGCCTTAGGAAAGTTAACATAAAGACTATTTCAAAATAAGGAACATCCTTGAGGTCAGAAGCCTTAAATCAGTGTATCCTTTTGCTGATATATCAAATAAATAGCTGCTGCAGTGATGGATAGGATTCTCAATCAGATTCAAGTACAGTGATTTAAATCTCAATACTTTCTTCACTGATTGTAATGAAGGAGCAGATCTACTCTGACTACTGTTTTGGTCTATTTGTAGGGTAGGAAAGGTAGGTAGGAAAAAAATACCCACAGAAATGCTTAATTAAATTATTTATTAGATTTTATATACAGCACAAGTCCATATTTGAATGATACAAGACTCCTCATTGTGTAAAGTCATTTGATCATCATACAGCATGGTGGCTGAACTTCTTTGTCAGTTAGATAACAGTATGACTCAAATATTGCAGCCATATACAAAATATTTAAGAAAGCCAAATTCTTCCTGTGCCATTACTCTACTGACCTAAAATCCGGTTAGCTATTTGCAGTTTCATCTTTTCCTGGGAGATTTAATACAATTCCTCACAAATTATGCATTTAAGTAGATTGAGGTAATTTTTCTAACCTGAAGTTCTGCATATTAAAAATTTTGCCCTTTGAGAAGCCTTTAAATGCATCACACCTACTCAGCTAAGCTGGAAGAACCAGGTAACCCAGAAAAAGTTACCATACAGGACTTAACAGCAGCTTCTCTGAGGCATTAATGCTTCCTGATGTGGAAAGGTCAACTAAACCTTCGTTAAGAACAGTGGCAAGTAGCCAGGTGTCTAAATTTATTTCTACATCACCACTGGAGGCAACACTGGGGCTGTCAGAAATGTACTTTTCCCTTTCCACCTGAGCTACGACCATCCTACAGCTCTGACCACATCTCTTAGATTAACACTCTTTCCTTAACATGTCTATATTTCCCTTCTCTTCACTACATCACTTAACTTTCAGGCCCTATTCCTTGTGTAGCATGAGTCTACTCTTCTCAGCCAGGGTGTGAATTTCTGCTTCTAATAAAGATACAACAAACAAGTAAATCGTCAATAGCAGAGCTTTAAAGGGTATTAAATAATAACAGGTAAAAGGAGATTCTTCTCAGATTTACTCCCAGAGAGCAGTAGGCCAGGTTTTTCCTTGTCTAGAGAGTGCATCTAGATATTTCATGGAATTAAACTGATGGACCTAAAATTCCTTTATGTATGTACAGCTGTTGATGTGTATTTCTTCCCTAATAATTTCTCTCTTCGAATGATGCTGAGCACTGGATTGATTTTCCACTGAACCATCCACAAAGATTGCTAACCTCTGACATGGGGATTCTTTGTGGGTGATTCCCTGCTGTCAATATGGTGTGAGCTCACTATTTCCATGTGTATTCAACAGAAATTCCCCTTCTATCTCAGCTGATTTTCAAGAAAATCAAGAGAACTGTACACTCTTTAAGATGTCCAGTCATATGGTTTGTTTTCTTTTAAAATAGCCAGTATTTTCAAATACTGGACAGAGTCAGAAAGGCAGACTTGAGCATCATTATATCAGTCTTATTTTCCTTTATGAACAAGATAAAATATCAAGCTGGCCATGTGGCATAGTCAAGTCATGTTTAAGCAATAAAAAATCCCATCAAACACACAAACACCAGACACTAACAGAAATTCCATATTCTATAGAAGTAAAAATATGGAAGCAGAGAATGTGCAGGAGAAAAAGTCATTTCGTTTTAGATGCATTGTTACAAATCATCAAAACATGGCAGAGAGAAAGGCAGAGGCACATAATTGGACAGAGGGGAAGCTGAACCACAGAGGCATTGCTAGCAAAGTAAGAAGCAGAATCGAAGCCTTGAGATCAGCTACACATAAAAGAAGATTACAGAAACAACAGGGTTTTGAAAAACATTGACAGCCAGAGACAAAACACAGCAGACAAGTTAAAGAGGTGAAAAGATGGACTAAACACAAGGAAATAAGATTGCGACCACTGAGATAAAGGATTACAGGAACATCAAAAAGCTGGATTGCAAGATTTGCAGTTCTGAAATTTGATCAAAATCAGATCTTGGTGATTTGATTGAATTTCAATTAAGTATATAGGGCAACATCCAGGCTACATGAGTCAAGAGAGACTGAAAGGTTGTTGGAGTCAGTATTCATGTACAGTCTTTCCTGAATGGAACTCTCATTGAGAGAAAAAGTTAAAAAACAGACAGCAAGGAAAATTATTATTCTACTTTGACAGCATACCCTAAATACAGAATGAATACATGGAGAAGTACAGAACAGTAAAGTCTTTATCCATTCCCTGCCTATGCATTACTCTTGCACCCACGTCAAGAAAAATTATTTCAATTTCTTTTCTTTTCTGAAGTTCAGATGCCTAGAAAAGCCACCAAAATAACATTCCCTGCAGTATTATTTTTTATTACTTAGTGGTTTTAAAGTAAAAAGTTGCCTGCAGCATTTCATATAATTCTAGTTATGTGTAAAAGGACAGTAAATAGTTGCCCTTGATCAGGACCTCCCTTTTCACAGCACTCCTCTCATTTACCCTATTCATGCACAATTGTCGAAAGTCCTGGTTCTTACCTGACATGATAAACACAGAGCACACACTTTATTCTTACCTTTTCATTAACCAGAATGACAGTGCAGTAACGCTTTTCCTGATAAAAGGGAAGGAAGTGAATATCTAAGGTTGCAGAACCTTTCCCTTTCAAGAACAGTTTTTCTGTTGGACTGAAGAACTCATGCAGGAGGCCAGACTGATCAGCTGTTAAAATAAATTTAAGTGGATGTAAACATAAAAGAGCACAGGCTGTAAAATAAAGTAGTTGCATGAGTTTGAAAAAAAAAGGTACTGTATACAGCCTCCTGTAGCAATCAGTATTTAAGGCACACCCGTAATCAATAATCACTATTTACAGTTAGAGTTGTGTAGATGTACTGTAATACTGCATACTATATTATTTAAATGTATTTTGCTAATTACCTGTGCTCTTATTCTGTACACTGAAACAAAACTGGGGAAAACAGAGAGTTCCCACCATTAAAAATTCCCTAAGGAGGTACAGCCTCCAAGAAAAAGTCTACTCACATCAGAAGGAAAAGTATAATTTACTGCTATTTGAACAAAGAATCTTGCTCTCAGAGCAATTATGTCTGAAATCTTCTAGAATAGGCAAAATCTAAATACTGGCAATACTGGCTTTTTTTTCCACTGCTTTCACAAAAGCATTAGGCTGGGAAAGAATCTTAGGGTTGGATCTGGCAGGCTCTGAAACTTTCTCACTGTGTGTTTTTCATCTGTCTGCTAAGCACATTTAGACACTGACCCTCAGGCTTTTCTGGCTGCCTTTCTAGGCAGGTCAGCAGACCTAAGAATATATGTGAAAGTGAAAACAACAGAAATGAGTGAGATCATATAACAAAATGATGCCAAACTCTGGCCAAATAGATAGAACAGGGATGGGACACCCACAACTTCTCTGAGTAACCTGCCCCAGTGCAGGGCACCACTCTCACAGTAAGAATTTCTTCCTCATATCTAATCTAAACCTGCCTTCCTTCAGGGTAAAGATATCACCTCTTGTTCTATCCCTACACACCCTTGTAAAAAGTCCCTCTCTTGTAACTCCTCCAGGTACTGGAAAGCCACTCTGGAACCTTCACTTCTCCAGGCTGAATTTTTTGACTGTGAGGCACAATTTGAGGCCAACATTTTATGAAAACTAAAAATAATAGTTACTGAGCATTTCCATATATAATATTTATTGAACATATTCAGATGTCAAAATCTTGCTTCCATAGATAATCTAATTTCTACTGTAGTAAGACATAAGGTATTGCAGAGGTACTTACAGCTAGTGTCTTTCTTTGAATCTTCAGGCAGTGCAGAAATTTTTGAACTTAATACGCTATTTTCAGAACTAAAAGGAAAAAAATTTAAAACAGTATTCTAAAGCTGGACATTTTTATTACCAATAGATAGCTTAGTTCCCCTTTTTATGAATAAACACCAGAAAAGCAAATGTTATCAACACAAAAAAAAACCCCACCAAAATAGACCACTACATTTTTGAACCACTTTCTAATCAATAATATTAAAAATCAGCCTATCCACTTGAGGTGGCTACAAGAATGTTAGTTAATATAGGTATATTAATATAGGTATATATTTAATATATAGTTAATATAGGTATATTAACTAACATTGCAGGTAATCATTCAATAGAAGCCTAACTTAATCAAGGCTTTGTCTAAGAAAGGAGAAAGGGATGAATCTTAACCTAATCACCTGAACTCTGCTCTTTACAATATAGCTGTTCATGTGTATTTGAAAAGGACAGATATACTCAAAAAAAAAAAACAGCTTCAAATAAAATCTTCTTTGAACTTCCATCCTCCCAAAGCAAACTGTGCTCCTGACCATCCTATTTTCTTATTGTGACTCTATGTACTTTTCTATTCTTCTTCGCAAGTAATTCCCACCATTGTTGACAGGTGTTAAGATTGTGCAGTTACACTTATGGAAGAAGAATTTTGCTTAATTTACAACATGCACAGAGCTCAAAGATGCTGAAAACAATTGTAATGTATCAAAAAATGCTGCAAGTTTCAGCTCAAAACTCTAATTTTAAATTATCCACACATAAAGGTTATTCCTCCTGGCAGTAAAATTTGATGAACCAGCACACAGCAAACTATTACTACATACAATGTTTGATGTTGGGTCTCTCTTAAAATAAATAGTTAATCTTGCTGGGCTAAGAAAAAATCACAGCCCTAAAGAAATGGATGTGCAAAACTCTCAGAATGTGTTACCCTGGAGATTTGTTTTAATACCAATACTTAACGATCATTTTTAAGAAAGGAAAATGATCTCTGAGTACATGCATACAACATACTATTTATACTATACTTTACAAATAAGTATCTCACATTAAAAAAAATGTGAAAAATGTAATGTATTTTTTGTACAGTTCTTACTATTTTTTCATACAGCTGTTGAGCCATTTGTTACTTTTACAGTGATTCTTCTGCTGTAGTCTCTGTTTTTGCAAGCATGACTTGGCATTCTCATTCAAAGATAAAGCATTGAAAGACATGATGTTTTATATAAAATTAGTAAGAATCCTACAAAAAAATGCATTACATTTTTTCACTGGTGAGAATTATACATTTACTAAGTCCTATTTTCAGATCTGAACAACTGAGAAACTCATTAGAATGATTTAACAGGGTATTGAACTTCTCTCAATATCAATTTTTTTCTTACTTCAGTGAACAAAGCTCTTGCAGGTAAGTGATGAGAAAAGAAAACAAACCTATGTTGTGGAAGACATGAACATTGTGTCTCATTCTTCCATAACAAAAAGAAATAGCATCTTGCTCAATAATAAAACTGAAAGGAATAAAGTTCAAAAGGTATAAGAAGCTTGGTTATGTTCAAAGTCTGGTTCAATACATCCTCTTTCAATACACATAGAAATAAGGAAAAGGATTAGGAAGAAGAGCTTAAAGCTGCCATAAAATAAGTCTACACAGCCTGTTCACTGCACCTGAGTCAGGCAAATCCCTGGGATCAACAGAGAATGCGGAATGAACGGCTCAAAAGCAGCCCTGAGGAGGAGGATTTGGGCATATTGGTAAATGAAAGATTACAGATGAGCTGGCCATGTCCACTCGCAGCCCAGAGAGCCAAAAGTGTCCTGGGCTGCATCCAGAGCTCCGTGGGCAGCAGGGCAGGGAGGGGACTCTGGTGAGACCCCACCTGCAGAGCTGCCTCCAGCTCTGGGGTGCCCAGCACAAGAAAGACAGAAGCTGCTGGAGGAGGGCCAGAGAAGGGGTAAGAGTGCTGGAGCAGATCTCCTACAAAGATATCCTGGAGGAGATAAGGCTCCAGGAAGACCGCACTGTGGTCTTTCAATATTTAAGGCCAGGGCAGAGGGAGCTGGGGACTGGGGGGGAAACAAGAGCAGCTCATAAGAGAGAGAGAGAGAGAGAGAGAGAGAGAGAGAGAGAGAGAGACATTAAGCAACTTCTCCAACGACCCCTCATTTGGTTTGGGGGTTTTTGCTGACATAATAAGACAATTTTACTGTTCATTAAATTAACAAAAAGTTCAAGATTATGTTACAGGTGAGGATGGGTTAATGAGGGCACCTTTGAGTTGCCTGGTTGAGGTCTGAATACTTCAAATTCATTCTTTCTGTGGTTATTCTAACCCGTTCTGATTAAAATCACAGCCTGGATAGGAAGGGACCTTAAAGATCATGTAATTACAACCTACTTCCATACTTTTGCACCAGTAAAAGTCTAGTATCTGCTACCTGAGTTGTCAGATACCAGTTCCAAATAACAGCACAAAGCTACTGGGCTTGCCATGTTACCAGGTGTGCCAAGAACCCAGATCAAAAGGAAAATCATCTCTCTAGTCAACACAGAGAGTGTGCATACATCATCATGGTATATGAGCTATCTATTTGTCATGGTGTGACTTTACTCTTCATGCCAGGCTCCAAACAGCCAATAACTCTGTTTTCCATCCAACAAATGCTCAGAAAAAAAAAATACTTTCCTGTATGTATTTGGAGAAAAATTTACTAGCTTATTCACTAGCTTTATTTTTTACTAGCTCCAGATTTTATATATTACCAAGGAGGTAATAAAAAAAAAAAGTGCCAGACACCATAAGGAAGTCTTAAATTCACAGAGCAGCATCTTAATCAATTAACTTTATGATGTTTAGCAAGCAAAGATCTTATTAGAGAGAAGAGATGATACAACAAACTGCTTAGAAGTGCATTGAAAATACTGAAAAATTTGAACACAAAATTCACATCTAAGATACTCACCACCTTCCATACTCTGTAAAACAATTTGTGATCTCAGAACAAAGTGTAGGATAGAAACTAAAAGAGGAGCTGCTCAAAATAGGTACTAAGGCTTAGAGGAGCTAGATTTCTTTGATATAAAATATTACCCAGAATTGTAATGACTCCTGATACCATATTTGTAAACTGTATTCACTGAAACAACAGGTATTAATGCTGTTCCTCAAATTACAAAGATACACCATTTTTAGATCCTAATTTTTTCTTTATTCTTCCAGTAAGTAAATACAGGTATTCTGTATAGCATAACTCTTTCCTTGGCACATAAAACAGCTTAGAACAAAAAAGTATAAGAATACAATTCAGAAAATTGAAATTGTTTGGAATTCCTGACATTATCTCCAGTTTTAAAAAAAGGAATAATTAATTTAACAATAAGAAGCTATACACAGTGCAGAATTTGATTTGAAATTCATAAATTTTTTTTTCCCTTTTTTGGTTTAGATTATATTTTTTAATGTAAAAATATTTATCAAAATTCACAGCTTGTTTTGCAAATCCATCTGTGCAATCGTGATCCAGCCCTATGGACACTACTGCATATGATAATCTGCTTAGTCATGGTCTTAGAATAGGACTATTAGTGAAACATTGCTATATCTTTACCACTTTCTAGTTTTGCAGTAGGAAATTTATGAAGGAAAAGTTAGCTATTAAATGTAACCTTGAACTTTTACAGTCATTTGATACTTTTTTTTTCTAATGGACATCATTTAAAAATACCAACATGCTTGAAAGCTATGGGTAGTTTTACATTACACAGAATTTCTGGGCCATGTGGTGTGCTTCTCTCCACCTGGTTTTCCTTCTCCCACAGGGAGCAGACCAAGCTGGCACACAGATGTAGACCAGAAAGACAATAATTAAAGTGTCAAGGGCTTGGAAAAGCACATAGAAGTGGATAACTTGAAAAAGTCTTGTCCCAGTGTACTTGAAACTATGTCAAATGGATTTAAAAAAAAAAAAAAAGCACTGTGCTTCTCACCAAACACCATCCAGTTCTGCATGAATAAAGAAGGTTACATTTAATAGCTAACTTTTCCTTCATAAATTTCCTACTGCAAAACTAGAAAGTGGTAAAGATATAGCAATGTTTCACTAATAGTCCTATTCTAAGACCATGACTAAGCAGATTATCATATGCAGTAGTGTCCATAGGGCTGGATCACGATTGCACAGATGGATTTGCAAAACAAGCTGTGAATTTTGATAAATATTTTTACATTAAAAAATATAATCTAAACCAAAAAAGGGAAAAAATAATTAATGAATTTCAAATCAAGTTCTGCACTGTGTATAGCTTCTTATTGTTAAATTAATTATTCCTTTTTTAAAACTGGAGATAATGTCAGGAATTCCAAACAACTTCAATTTTCTGAATTGTATTCTTATACTTTTTTGTTCTAAGCTGTTTTATGTGCCAAGGAAAGAGTTATGCTATTCAGAATACCTGTATTTACTTACTGGAAGAATAAAAAAAAAATAGGATCTAAAAATGGTGTATCTTTGTAACATGGGCTACTGTTAAGAGTTTTGGGCTCAGACAATGCTGTGTCCCAGCAAGGACATAGCAGCTCCTCAGGCTGCAGCTCCAGACTGGGATTGTTCCAGTGACACTGTGACAGACCCAAGCCACAATGACAGAAGGGTTGGTCTCCTCTCCAGCCTGAATGACCCCGTTTTGGGAGCCGGTGACACTGCCAGAGGGGAAAGCTGGGAGGTAAAAGGGTCACCTGCCAGGAAAAGCTTCCTACAGTGAGGTGTAAAGCAGATCTGACATATCTGGAGGCACAGGATGAGGATGCAGAAGGAGCTCTGAGCCCAGCTGCTCGTGCTGGGATGATGAAGCTGTCATGTGCATGTCTTGGTCCTGACATCCGTGTCACAGACACAATTTCCCAAAGGGCAAGCACTGACTTCACAGCAGTTTTAGGCTGACAGAGCACTTACAGAAATTGGCCTTAATTTGTACTTCTGGATTTACCAAAAGAATAAAAATGATTGAGGGAAAAATCTTTTTACTGATCAGTCATGAAATGTACACACACTATTTTTTAACACAAATTTCAGAAGTTTGTTCCATTCAAGAACAAGATCTTCTGCAAGGAGGTATTTAAGTGGCTTCAGTTATCATAGATGACACAAACATCTAAACATAAAGCAAATCAGTACTGGAAATTTCTAAAGACCTAAGATGCCCTGAAATCAATTTCTGTAAGAATGAGATCTGGATGTGTGATGAAAATTGCTCTATTTAGACTGATTTTCTGGGGATAAATTAAGCTGAAATATGCAAGACTATTAAAAAATCCTTTTCTATATCAACAATTATTATACACTTCTTAAATTTAGTATAAAGTGTAGTATAAATTACACTTTAGAAAACTATTTCCAGTTAAAATATGTGTGTATTTTTCCTTAATAATACAATGTTCATTCTTTTTCTGATTTAAAATTTTTTCTTGTTTCTAATTTTTAAAAAGAAATTTGAAAAACAGTCTGCATTTCATGACATGACTGTGGAACACCCCTATAATTACAACTAAACTTACAGTATTGACAAGACAGTAGTTTATGATATTTTCCAATAATCCTTGAATAAGTGTTTCAGGATTTTGAATGTTTACATGAGCTTTAAAAATTACATGTCCCAACTGTGGAAAATATTTTAAATTATTAAATAAAGTATTATTGAATCACTGAAGAATATATGTTTTGAAATCTGTTTATAATTTTTTTGCAGTACAGTCCTGGATTCAGCTGGGTAGAATTCATTCTTTTTTTTAGTAGCTGGCACAATGCTTTGTTTTAGAATAGGATGAGAATGTTGATAGTACTCTGATATTTTAGCAGCTCCTGAGCAGTGCTTACTGTAAATCAAGGAATTTCCAGCTTCCCATGCTCTGCCAGGGAGCAGAGTCACAAGAACCTGTGAGGGAGCATGGCCAGGGTGGCTGAGCTGGAGTGGCCAAAGGGACATCACAGAACATCAGGCTCAGCACGACACCCAGGCAGAGCTGGGCAGGGTTCCCCCCACTGCTCAGGGACTGGTTGGGCATCTTCTGTCATATTTCCATGTCCCAAACTGTAATTCTCTACAACAGGTAGCCCACAGCATGCACAAACAGGTAATATTAATAGAAATGTATGCCATAGTTAGCAATGGTTATCTGGAACTTACCTAAACTTTTGCTCTTGCTTTACTTGCCTGCTTTGATACACTTTCTCTGGGTGGAGTAAATGTGTGGATTCCAGCAAGATTACCCTGGAGTATGACAAGCACACATAATGACTGCATTTTAACTTGCAGAATGACAATGGAATTCAATTAATTCTAACTTTTATATGCAGGCTCAATAAAGAAGCTTATTATTTTCATCTAAAGATACTTTAAAAGTACTTGTTGTGGTTTAATCCCAGTTTTTCTGTAAAAGATCTTCTCCCTTGGTATCAAACTAGCATTTCCTAGTGTTATTTACAAGTGAATAATATACCCCCTGAAGAAACACTAGATTATTCAAAATACTGGAAGTCTGATACACAGAATTTTAACTTTAGATTACTGGTTCAAATGTTGCCCAAATTGATAATGACTTAACATAATTGTCAAGTAGCTTTTGAATTATATAAAACTAAATTATATAAAACTAAATTACTTCATTATTTCATTGATAATTTCCAAGGGGAATATCCAAATCATAAGACTAATTCAGCCTCACTGACCACGTCAAGAACTTAAAAGACAGAAGCTAATTAAACTAATATGATTCCTACACACAGGACTTGGAGCAGTGGAAACAGTCCTGTTACAGGATTGTTATTGTTGTTGCTGTTATTATTACTATTTTTATACACCAATCATATTCTGTGGAGGAAAGAAAAATTCAATTTGCAGCTTCAGCAACATGTATATTCATGTTGCATATAAAAACAAGTTAAAAATGTTGTGAAAGATGGTTTTTCCAAATAAATGAATGAGATGAACCAATTCTTAGTTCTGAAGACTAAAGATAAAATATGGAGTCTGATCACATAAATAGATTTTAAATGGGCACAATAATCTATTTCCTTTGTACTAAGGAAAGCAACATTTATAGTTCTGCAGTTGTTGCAGCTATGATGAATACAAATTAAAAATTAGACTAACTGATAATGATGCAAGCCCCAAGGCAAAAGCATTTTTTTCTTTTGCATGCTTAATAACTTTAACAGCAAAATAAAGCAGATTGGGGGAAAATAACCAACTATTAATTAACATGGCTTGTTTTTCTTTGTAATTCTGCTGGACCTCAGCCAAACACAAAAATACAAGCAAGGTTCATGAACTCTCTTTGATTAAAGCTCCAGCTTTACTGCTTACACTGAGATGGATTTCAATTAAGGCTTATTTATCTTCTTTATTCATTATGATAGCTTCCACTTCATAGTGCTTGTAACAATTTTGGGAGTGTAAATCTCCATCATTTAACCTCCAGGTTTTACACTTTTAAGAAGAAGAAGAAAATTATGGAAAAGAGTGGATAAAACAGCATGATCATTAAAGAATTGTCTTTATATCACTGTCTACCTGAATATGCCATCATTTTTGAAGGGATTAGTAACATTTAGGTTAAATTTCTTCACCTCATAACATGGGGACCTGCACCTTATCATACCCTAAAAGAGAACAAAAAACACAAGACCAATAATCAAGTTATCATTGTTTTTTCCTTTTCATCTTTACATGTCCTCTATTTTTCCTATTGCCCCAACCTTCTCTTGTCCTAAGATGTTTAAGGGGGGCTAAAAAAATGAGAGGACCACCTAAACACCATCTAAGTTCAGAAGTCTATCCAGATGTAGTCGATGAATGTGGATTACAAACACAGGCCTACCTGCCCTGACTGGGGCATACCTGACAACTACAGAGTCTCTGGTTAAAAAGTACAAATAAATACAGAAACATCTAAGAAAAGCTTGTGGTTCCTTTATATATGACATCTGAAATCACTAGACTGAAGCACATCAACACCCCAATGACAGAATTTTCAATAACTGAAAAGGGCTGAAAGGGCTCCACACATATTTTCAGAGCAATCAGTAAAAATTTTTACAATTTATTCAGTATCCAAATGTGATTTATGTCCTTATGAACCTTACATATTCCTCTAGGGTTTTTGCTGCAAGTACATAGTCTAACATTGTAAATCTGAGAACTCCTAGGTCAAAGGAGAATGCTGATGGTAACTCACATTTTCATTCTTATCTCAGTTCCCTTTTGTTTGATATAATGTAAAGAATAACAATATTTTTGTCACAATAATAATCATAAAAATATAATCTTACAAGAGGCTCAATACTCCTAACTTCAGATTTCAGAGAGAATGTCATTGTGGCACCATCTATTCCATCAACTTTATTTGAGGTCAGTAGTAATACTGCTTCAGCAGGGTGCAGGAAACGAATTGTGAATTCCACATTTACAAAGCCTTGTCTCCTATGAAAAAAAAAAAAAGACACAAAGCCAGAGCTCAGAAATTACTCAGAAATGTAATTTCAGGAGCACACTTCAGAGTCTTTGTAAGGGAAGGGTTCTAGAAAAGAAAGCAATTTGTTTCCTCTGAAATATTTTGTTGCAGTATAATCTTCTGCCTAAGAGTATCTTAAAACATTCTAATAAAAGAACAATCTAGATAAAGAATAATACTGAATCCTTACTGCTTTTTACACCAGCACATGTCTTAATTTTTCTTCACACACACACACACACACACTAGCACAGGATGTTCTCTTTCATTAGAGTATCACCCTAAGTTAACAACTGATCCAATTGATGCTCCTCTATCTGAAAAGGTTTTTCTGAGTTAAGCAGTCATTCAGCCTGTTATGAATTTTGTGGGGAAGATCTAGATAGTCTTAATCAGAAGAGTAAGAAAGAAATTAGTTTTAAAAACCTCCAGAATAATTAGCAAAGCTGAGTTAAGAGGGAGAAAAACCGAAGTTCTCTTGTACAAGCAACAGTTTCTCTCTAATGGGAAAACTGGCGAAGACCACACAGAACAAGAATTTTTTGACTAGGTGCACATTTAGACTTTATCTGCATCAGCCCTTCAATGAAGCAAGAATAAGAAAACTTCAGTAGCTGAAGCTCTCACTTTGAAGTTCTCAAAATGTCTCTCTGATTTTGAGAGCAGTCTTAAGAAAGGAGAAAGTCTCCGATTGTCAATTCTGAATATTGAAAATGAAATCCTGGAAGTTCTGTAAACCTGGCTCTAACAGCTTTCAAGTTCCTACTGCAGAGGCTCCCAACAATTCCATTTATGACACTGAAGAGTTGCCCAGTCCCCCAGAGTCTGAGGCTCCTAGATCACCTCACCAATGAAAATGTTCTGAAAAAATATGCTGTGAGGCAGGCAGGCAGAGGAATAAACTGCCTGAGACATACACTCCCAAAGCCACTTTAAGGATCAAGTTTTAAGAAACCTGCTCTGGTCACAAATAAGACCGACAGCCAACAGCAGTGTACAGCACTTTCTGCCTCATCTTTGCCCTCTGATTCATGCAACACCTGAGAATTTGGGTTTGAACGGTTGCCTTCTGTGGCAAAACCACAAAGTTGCTTAATTTTTATCTCTATTAATCCATGTTGTGGTCAATGTAAAGTGAGGGCAAATTCATTTCATGGAATTGTTCCATAACCTTGGGGGTTTATGCTATTCCTGTTGTGAACTGCAAGTCTACATGGCACAGTGCAGCGCCCTGGAGAGTGGGAATCTCAGATCAAGAAATGATTATATGAATCCATACACAACATAAGACACTCAGCTGCACTCAGAATACTATTCACATTACCATAATTTCCAAACACACCTACAGCATTATGATCTAACATAACGAACCTGCAAGACTCCCATAGTCTAGCCAATTCTCTGAGTTTTTTAAACACTTGCACCAGAATATTAAGAAAGTTATTAATTTCAGAGAACCTATTTTTCATTTAATGATCATGACATTATGATAAATTCTGCAGAGGTTATTATGCATGACTGGCATTTCCACAGGTTTTTATTTCTATGCAATTTTTCAAATATTTGTTTCTATATGCAATGCCAAGCAGCTCAACAACAAGGTTTTGCACATTTTCTTCTGTCTTGATTTTTCTTTGTGGTTTGTTCTGAGTGTTTAATTTTAAAGGTGAAGTGAAAAACAGCCATGGTATTGACCTTTCATAGAAACACATGGTATTTTCAAGGATTACATTTATATGATAACTTGTATTTGAAGTAATGGCAAAGAAAATGGAATCAAATCAGCCTCACAGCTTGCTGAAAACATACCATTATTTGTGGTTCCCTTTGCATATATTTATAATAGGCATGTAATTTAACAGTGACATATTGATGCTCCTTAAAGAGCACTGTATTTATGTTGAATCTTCTTGAATTTGACCATTTATATTTGATTTTTTTTTTCTCCTTCACGGTTTATCTTCATACAAATCTTGACCTTTATTTTTCCTTTTACAATCTCTAATCCATTTTATCTGTAAATGGCTATTTTGCAGATAAACTTAAAAACTGTTAACTGACAGCCAAAGTCACCATTACATCCCTCTTGTCTTCACTAGTTAAAAAGGGATTTATGAAATTCCTGTATTGATTCATAAAGCTGCATAACACAGAAAGAGCAAAATGTACTTAGTGAAAAAAACACTTGGTGAAATGAGATGGTGATATACCATGAATATTTCTGCTAGCAGAAATTATAACCTAATGCTTTCCCAAAATTAAATCTCTCAAATCCCTAGATGTATCTCAGACATGTAAGATGAACAACTATATCACATCCATCTTGCTGGGGAGAAAGGATGGGGGCAAAAAGATGCAGTGTAATACTACTCAAACCTGTGTCATGGTCTCTTTAATTCCCAGCCATGTTTAAATTAAAAGCCAAAATCTGCAACTTCAGAAGAAAAGAAATCTACTTGCTCATGCTTCTTCAATGCATTGATGTACAAAAGGTGAGTGAAGTTTTGATACATAGGAAAAATATATATATTGGAGACAAAAGATTCTTATAATGATCTGAATGTTTATATACTGATCTTAAAGTTCTACTGAGCCAACTGCAAGAGTCCCACTGAAATATTACACTAGATTTGTTCCAGTTTAAGGAGAAAAACCTGACCCTTATACCCCCTAATTTTGCCTTGTTTGCAATTAAACACATTTCTAGTGTTCTACCACTCCTAAATTAGTAAATTTCTATTTCTTTAATGCTACCAACAATAACACAGACATTTCATTACTTACATAGAAGGAATGGTAACAGTGTTTCCTTTAGGTAAAGAGAAATCATGAGCATCTCTTCCCACAAGAACAGCGGTGTAGGACAAAGTGTTATTGCTCGGGTTCTTCAGGTGCACCTACCACAACAAAAGGAGCAAGACCAGCCCATTTTTACTCATTTTTAGACTATAAAAGGTGTGTTATGCAGGTCAATTCGAAAATACAAACCAAGGGTATCACAAAATAAAAAAGTACTTCAAATAACTGGGTAGATAATTTTCCTTCCAAAGGACTGTAGATTTCCCATGGAATATCCAAATTTCATTTTTGAGGGTACAGTGTACACTGCACTCCTATGCATGTAAATCTCTTGTTCCTCTCTTTGATCTGAGATTTGTCAAATTTGTAGATTTTTTTCATGTGCTTTCAAGCATAGGGGAAAAAACAGAAGTGAAATCCCAATACTGAAGAGAATAAAAACACAAAAAGAGAAAATGCACACTACCATCTTCTATACTTCTTAGCAAAATGACAAGAAACCTATTAATTCTTTGTTGGAGCTTATACATAACATAAACACACATACACACAGTGTTCTAACCTTGAATTACTATGAATCTAAATTCAATGGTATCAATACCTGCTTCACAATAGTTGCATGGAGAGCACCTGAAAATTCTATAGTGTTCTTGGGTAAGTAGTGAGGGAGAATGTCATACAGGTGGACACACAAAATAAGCATCGTGACAGGATTTGGTTCACAGATATCAGTGGCCTACAAACAAACAAACAAAAAACCAAAAACAAAAACAAAAACAGATGTTCAGTTAAAATTTTGCCTGTATAGTCTAAACATACGAAGCAGAAGAACAATAAATTTTAAGTTAATTCTTGTTATACAAATACTTTTAATCTAACCTGCAATAACTGGATTATTCTCATGGCTAATATGAATAGTATGAATAATAAGAATCTTGTCACCACACCAAAAAAAACCTCTAATTAAGGAAGACCACTAACATGCTCCGGTGATAAATCTAGGGTAAAAATCAAGCTCAACTATTTTTCCCAAAGGTTCAGCAGAAACAAATGCTAATTTTATTAAATGCAGCATAACAGAAAAAACATGGAAACTTTACTGTCTGCAAAAACATACGTCTTTACTATCTTAAAAAAAATTAAAATCTTTTAGTTTGCATAAAATACCATCCCAAATACTTCTACATACAGTAGGAGTTTACAAAGATAACTTCACCTTCCAAATAGCAACAATATAGTTGTTTCGATTGCAGATACTTTTATACTTTTGTAAATTGCATTGTAAAAGGTAGAAATTATTCCTCCAGGTTAAATATTTGATTTACAGACATGAGTTTGAGTGGCAGCAGCAAAACATGTCCAACTTTAGTCCTCAGCAATTTGAGTAAGTCACTGAAGAGAGTGGTAAAATTATTTGCCATAAAGTATGGAAAACAGAGGAAAAAACCATTTACTCTTCTGGACTGTCTTTAGTGTTGCAAGAGAGATGTATAGACATATTTATTATCTTAACCATCTGAGTAAATTTTTATTTTCAAGTTAAAGTGTATTTAAAGTTTTCAAGGTAAAGTTCTCTTGCCCTGTGCCCAGCCAAGCACCTCATCCTACTCCCAGCAGCTCTCACACAGCTCCTCCTCTAACCTTCCAAGAGAGTGAGTACATAACTGGGCACTGATCTGAAGTGAACCTGCAACTCTCTATAGCTTCCTAGATAAATTTTGTCCTTGTAATTCTTAATATTAATTTCCTATACTTTTCATGCACTGATGTAATCATACACCTCATCTCATATTGCTATTTAATTCCATCACCACTGGTTGAAGGTTCGAACTTTAGGGTGCATTCACATGCAAAGTAAAAAAGTTTATTCTGTGCCTAAAGCTTTAAACCTGAAAAGTATTCAGAAAAGTAAAGTACTTTTTAGTAAACTGAAAAGTATTGTGAATTTTCAATTCATTTATCTCAGTAATAGCTATTGAATGTTAACCATTATTCCAATACGGCTGTGGCTTTACACCCCTACTTTTCACTCCTCCTGCATTTTCATTTTAGATAGAAAAGATGCCAGAGTAGATTATCTGTTGAAGACTTTCTTCTGCCACGTACTTCTTTCTACCCATTTCCACTTAGATCAGAATTTAGTTCCTCAGAAAATACAATTCTATCCTGTGATGAATTCATAAAAGTCCATTTGCGCCATTTATCTACTTCTCTAAGAGCTAAATTTAAAAAAAAGGCATTTCTTAACATGATCCATCAGAAAATTCAGTCAGTAAATATTATTTGCTTTAAAAATAGGTGTTAGCAAACAATAGCAATAATTATAAATTAATAATAATAAATAATCAAGTCTGACACAAATTTCCTTTACTGGCTATTCCCAGTCACTGCACCTTCTATCCTAATCTCTTTGTCACACATATTCCCTCCATGTTGCTGCTATCCACCATTCTATCTTCTAATACTTTATTTTAGGCTTTCAGCTGAATCTTCTTCAAATCAAAGAATTTTAAAACTTAAAAATATCAAACCATAATTAAAAACTGATAGAAAGCCGCCACTAATACTCTGTGGTTGAATTGTAAGTCATGATTAGAAAGTGGAAAACATTTCCTGCCCAAAGTGCTCCATCTCAAATGTACACCTTAATCCTTAAAAGGATTTCAAAGTCTTGATCTCCATTAAAAATGTCATTTAAACCTGAAGCTGAAGACTTGCAGACAGTTGAACTTCTTTATTACATACAGATTCTTAGATTTTTAGATTGAAAATACCAGCTTTTCCAGACCTAACACCTCTCAGCTTGTGCTGTTAATTAATGCAAATGTCCTGAGAGTTCAAAAGCAGTGACGGCCTGAGTCAAGAACTTTGCCAATGCTATTGGAACATTTTAATCTGCTAAATTTCAGACAAGATTATCACAAAATTCCCAAAATAAGAGATTTTAGCAAAATGATTTATGCATTTTGCTACTTTTATTGCTGCAAAACAAGATAGTTCAGAAGTTTCTACAGAAGCCTTAGGAAAGTATATATGAATTTCAATAAATCTATGTAAAATGTACCCTTTGAATTAAAATACAGACCTTGAAGATCCAAGATCTGTTCCTTTTTCTGGTACTGACTGACTGTATACCTTTGTTTAAATTGTTACTCTGCACAGAAGTGGATCGTCCCATTTACTGTAGACAATTTAGTCTTAAAACAGGTACATTAGTGAGAATATCCTCGAATTCTGCTTCCACATCTGAAGTGTTCAACACCCTTTTCATACTGGCATCAAGCCTCTGCCTTCATGTGCTGCACTGCCTGTTTTTCTTAATAAAAGCTGAGGAAGAATATAACTTTGTTTTGAGTGTTATGCCAACATTACTTTTTTGCTTCCTGCCAGTCACAAGGATGGGAAGCTGTAGATTTTCTTTGTTGAGCCTATTATAGCAAATTCATTTCTAACAGTGTGATCTGTATCAGGAAACAACAGCAAGACAGCAGCTGATACAAATGGAAATAATAGGGTTAATTTTTCCCTGTAATCATAACACAACCATATGGAAAAGGGAAAAAAAGTTGTAATTGAGCGTCTTTTTATATTACTTTGTTCACACAAATAAGCTCTACTGCTGATTCCTAATGCCATCAATTCCTTTGGAAAGTCTGCTCCTACACTTTTGAATACTGTGTCTATTCTACTGCATCTTCTGCTCTTCCAGCCACCCCAATATGCTCCCAGAGATGTAAATAACTCACAAATGGGCAGTTAAAGAAAGGCAGACTGGAAGCAGGAGAAAACTGGGCTTGGGGACAAGAAAAAGAAAGGAACAATATCTAACTTATGTAATATCACCATATAGAGACAATTTGAAGCCATAGGTCAATAAAAACCATGGAGATGTAAAGCACGTTTATAAACATATAAAGGAGATCCCAAGCAGATCCTTGATGGAAGAAATTATCAACAATTATCAACATTGCATTCCTCCCTAAAAACAGGTCACCAGAAGCTGCTGGTTTTGAGTGAGTGCTACTCCCACCAGCATCCCAAGCTGCTGACTTCTGCATGCACCAAACCTGGCACAGAACTCTCAGGGGCCTTCATGGTTAGATGCATCTAACTGTCCCTAGACACTCGTATAATTTTTTTTCACCATTTATTTTTATGGTTAAATACATGATGTTTGTTCTTAAACATATTTCTCTAAATTGCCTTTTAGTAGTAATAATGAATTCCATTTGAGTTTTCGCTGTGTGATTTAGGATGCTAAAATCTGAACTATATTAATTTATGTTCAGCTACTTGTGCATGCATGATTCTACAAAGCAAGGAATTATGGAAATTACTTCTAATTAAGTCTATAAATATGAAGCAGTATTTTGGTTTCCATCATATAGTAACACATCCTGAAACAAAACTGTTTTACCACAATCTCACTTTAATTGGATGTGCAACACAACTATACAAAAAATCAAAATAAAAATAATTTTATATATATATATATATATATATATATATACACACAAGAACTGCTAGTACAAAATCACCTACCTTTATGTCCATATCCAGATTGATAGTATGCAGAGCCTTCACAAGTATCAAGGCATTGTGCAGAAACTGTTCACGAGTTCTTGGATTAGTATACATCTTTATGAAGTGAGTGGGAATCTAGACAAGCCAGAGAAATCAAACTCAACCTTCCACAGGCAAAATTACTGATTTAGTATTTTTGCTCATTCAGCAATCAATAAGATCTAAATTTTGAACTGAAATTCCCTGTTAAGAATAAACTCAGTATTCAAAAAAAAAACCAAAACCAAAAACAAAACAACAAAAAACAAACAACTAATACTGAAATAATCCTCCATGAATTGGTAAATGTTGGGGTTGGTTTTTTTTTTCTTTTCAAAGCTCCCATAGGCCAAGAGTTGCTGTTGGGGAAACTTCCCTGTCCAAGCACCCAGGAGCCACTGGCAGCCCCCTGAGCTGGGACTGAAGGGCCCTTGCAGTGGGAAGCTGCAGTGAGTGATGGATGCCCTGCTTGACATCCCACCCTGACACCCTCAGACACAGTTTCCTTACTGTCTTGACCCCAGGATTCCCACAGCAGAGTCTCAGACATCTGGATTCTTAAAATATTTTAATCTGAGAGCAAAATCAGAAGAAAACCTCGAGCTGGGGCCTCTGAGGAGGGACCCCGCACTGAAGAAACCCTGGGCTTTTCCACACCTCAGCCTGAGTGTGTCCAAGCCTGGGGTGTTCCTGCTGGATCCCCATCTCCTGCCGTGTCCCTCTGCTCACCTGGCTGTGCCCCAGGTCCCCAGACCTTTGTTGTGCAGTGCCAGGTCTCTCTCCTCGGGCTCCCAGCACCAGCTGCAGCTCCCACCACAGCCACACCCCAGTGCCAGCCCTCAGTGCACTCCTCAGCATTGCAAAAACAAACACACTGACATTAAGGAACTGCATAAAACTTGCACAATATTAAAAAACCTTCTTACCAAATATGGACAATAAGCTGCCATCTGTGCTGCCAACACCAGACCATCCAGAAGATCGTGGTCAAAATTCACTATCCATCTCATGGGTGGTATTCCACCTGATTAAAAGACCAAACAAGATTCATGAGACTCTCTTCTCCCCAGGATGCCTGTTTCGTTCTGGATAGATATGGCAACTATTTGAAATCAATGAATAGAGGAAATAACATAAGAAGGAGCATCTATTCACATGCAGAATTTCACTGGCATATTTCTATTTCAGAGCTGTTGCTTGAAAACTTGAAAAATCTCACCTAGAATATTGCAGCTATTATTCACTCTGCTGCAGCATGTAAGAGTATTCATCACAGCAGAATGGAAAACAAATAATCTAAACCTCACAGATTAGGAGCCTAAATATGTAAAATTTTTATTACTATAGGCCTAACATTAATAGTTCTACTGAACCTCATGAAAATATGCAGAAATCCTTGAAAGTTTAAATGCTTAAGACAAAAAAAAAAGGAAAGGCTATTGATTTTCTTTAAGGTCATATTGAATTATTTGGCATGAATGCAATATAAATGAGAGCTAACAGCTCAATTGTTACAACACAAATCACCACTTCTACAACTGTTGTAAACTCCAATGCCTCAGAAGGTTAGATAATTTATTTATATTTCTAATGATTTTTATTAAAATAAAACTGATTATTAAGACACTAAATGTAGTTTATTTATGATTTTATTTGAAGCATCCATATAGTAAAATATTTAACACAGCATTTACACAACATTACTGTCTCAGGTCCAAGCTCCCAAATTTAGGAAACACTTTGGATTTCAGCCAATAGCAAGGTTTTCAGATAGACTGGGATCAAGCTTTCTCATATGGGACAAATGATATAGGTTCCATTTCACTATTACACTTAAATTAGTTCAACCCACAATAAACCCCTGTACCAGATCCTAAGCAAAATCAGTCATTATACAGAAAAAGAGCAGACATTTATAGACTACAGTCAAGGTATCATGCAAAAACTTAAATGTCTGTCACTTCACATCAACCTGCAGATGCTTCAGCATACTCATACAGTTTTAGTAAGAAAAAACAGGAGCAGATGCTGCACAAACTTAAAAGCAAATGTCTGTAAATCCATCTGAGCTTAACTCTGTGATATCAGTAATGATTTTAGTTTGCCACTCCTTCAGTGTGGTGATGTTTAGGCTTGGCCCAAAATCACTTACTTTTTCCTATTCATGCTGTGATCAATTTAGGTAATAAAATTATAAATATTCATTCAATATATTTTCATTAAATATATTTTAAAAACAACCAACAGTATTTAAAAGAGTATTTTCATGAATATTTCATTTTCTTTGAGTTTTGAAAACAAAATTAAAACTTGCATCAATCACACTGTGTCAAAACTATTTTTTTCTTATTGTTCAGTTGAAATAACTTTTTCAAGCAGAAAACTCAATATTCAATTCTTGAAAACTCCATATTGGAAGGTACCAAAGGTGGAGGATATATAAGTGACTGGATATATAACATTTACCTGCTATTTATGACAGGAAGATATTATAGTAATATGGGCCTCAAGATCAAATTGTAACAGTATTAATTTTAACTCAATTCAGACATCGATTTTACAAATATTTACAGTAAGAGACATTTGTTTCATCCCATCTTCTTGGTAACCTGCTTGCAGTTATTTAAAAAATATTTAATGTAGTCACTGCAAAAACAAATTCTTTAAAAATAGCAAGATACATTTTTGAAAGCATACTTTCTTACTAAAACATTAGTCTTTCTAGCATAAATTCATCATTTTATTGATCATACTTGGGACCTGTGAGAATCAATAAACTGTCTTCTTTTTTTATTAATAGAGTTTAGACTCACTCTCAGCACGTAATATCACCATTTTTAACAAATCACCATTTTCGAATTTTTAACTTTTTAAGATTAACTATTTCTGCTTTAGTAAGTCCAATACTGAATTATTCTTCTGGTTAGTAATCTAGATTGATTTGCTGAGCATGGTTATGGAAACTCATTAAACAATATGCTTTGATCAAAGAAAAAGTAACTTTATTATTTATCCCACTTTATATTTTATTTTAAATACACTATTTGCTGCTTTTAGTATTCTGGCAGTAATATTATTTGAGCACACTTAAGCAGAATCACAGAATGGTTTGTGTTGGAAGGGACATTAAAGATTGTCAAGCTCCAAACCCCTGCCATGGCCAGGGACACCACAAACAGCACTTTTGTACTTTGTTGTGTTCTCACTAATCCTTGCTTTCATGCTGGTAGAATTGTCTGTGTGCCAACAAAGTAGCTGGGGAACAAAGCTGGCTTAAAAATAGAGAGTGAAAAATTCATTTACTGTTTAATCCGGATCACCCAATCCAGTTTTGCCATGCAGCCACATAAATGTGTCAGTGGGAATGAAACATGGTGGGACTATTGTCTAAAACACCATTTATTGAACTATAGCTTTACAGTTGTGTAAATGGCTACATAAAGGAAAAAAAAAAACCATTAAGTGGAATATTTTCCAATCTTAGCTAATTAAATACTCTATAAGCATTTTTGTTGTTTTTCAGTTAATCCTTCTACTATCAATCAACCTACTTAACTCAAAGGCTTGTGAATAAATTAGTCAGAAAACATAATGTATTTTTCCTAATTACATCAAATCTAGCAGAACATCTGCCAGCTAACCACTCTACAGTAATTAAGTTTTAAAATAGAATTAGTCAATTCAAGTAGAAATAAACAATAGAAATAAGAATTATTCCTCAGGATACCTCTAAGCATGTAAATATATTGAATTTCATTTGTATTGGCATTTCTTGCAAAAAAAAAAAATCAAGTGGAGCTTTAAAATAAAGATTTTCGTCCGATGTAATGCTAAAAACCTGGCCAAAAATAGTTTCAAAGATAAATATTAAGAGGTAGCAAACAACTCTGTGTGACTGGGGCAGGGGGAGAGAAAATTGTCCAAACTTTCACTTCGGAATTGAGACAGATTCCTGCTACTAGCTAGCTGCATCCCAAAAGGGCTGGCTGCAAATTTTGATAACACCAAGACTGAAATGGCAAGTTCTAAATCTCCCATTAATGAAGAGGAGTGAGACAGAAGCCCCAATTAGGCAGATAATGAACTGTGCTCTGCACACAGACTAATGAGATTGGAAAAACTGGAGACTTGGAGTTATGAAAAGAAGAAGAGGCAAAAAAGAAGCATTTCCAAAAAGAATGCATGGTCTTGATGAGACAACAGGGGACTGGGAAGAAGGTGAAAAAAATTCATAATTGGAGGAAAGATTTTGGAAGTGGGAGAAGGTTCTGAAGATCAGAGAGGTGCATAGAAACAAATGTCACTGGATGTCCAGGGACTTTGGACAGATACAGGACTGGTGTCTCTGAGCAGCAGCTCAGAAGGAATTTACTTCTCCCTGATGTTCCAGTGGCCTCCCTGGCACTGAGGGAATGTGAACAGAGTGCTGGGGGAAGCAACTGGGTATGTGAAATTATCAAACAGGGCAAGAGCTGGTTCTATAACACACCCAGGATCCTGACCCACCGCAGGTTGTTTTGTACTCTCCCACAACCAGAGGTGAAAATACTTGGTAAAAGAAAATAACTAAGCAGAGTTAGCTTTCAGAGGATGTGCAGCCAAACACTTGTTATGGTTGTAGAAACCTAAAACTATACTTCAAAAGGTCTCTGCAAGGGATGAGAGTGGCTCTGTTTCACTTGTTGATTCCACTCAGCACATAAGGAAGTAGCATGCAGTCAATTCAGTGATTTGGGACCAACTCAACTCTTGAATGCATTTAATTTTAATAAATTTGTTGTTTGGTTGGTTGGGTTTTTTGGGTTTTTTTAAACATGTACTGGTATCATGTTGCATGCAACCAAGCATTACAGGATTGTCTCCATCTTTGTTGTGGCAGGTTAAGCCAACTCCTGAAGACACACTGCTTGCTTCATTCATGAAGCATTTCTACTTAGAAGCAGCAGAGTTTTGCCATGGCACTCTAATTATTCATCACTTTTTAAAAATTTCTTTCAAAGTCCACATTCATTGAGTTTTTTAAAACTTGATGTTCTTACCCTAATGAATCAATAGAAAGTCTACAAGGTTTTACAATGGTTTTTTTTTTGCCCATATTCTATTTTTCACACATAAAACAACACAAAACAAAACAAACCACACCCATCAAGATTAAATATTTGCTTATATCTATTATTGTATTTAAAGCCTTAAGATTTTTTTTGGTGGGATTTGAAAACTATTTTCCATACTGAGATAATCAAGGGAGTATCTATAGCAATTGCACACAAAAATGACAAACCACTTATTTGTTGTCAGAATATCAACCAACAGTCACCATAAACTCCTCCAGGTCAATTATTTTAAAATTTCTTTGATATGTAAATGATACAACAAACCAAGAAAAAATACTACACATTTAAACTTCAGTAAAATTTTGATTACATTATTTGTCATAGAAAAGCAATGAAAATGTATTGGAAAAAGGTCCTATAAAGTGAAGCAGAAACTTCACTGAAAAACAGTAACCCTAAATGCTATCAGCTGTCCACAACAAAAATCCTAGATTGTGTACTTTCCACTATTTTCATATGCAATTTTTCAAAATTGCACAAAATTATGTTACTCCCGTCTGGAGACAATATAAAACAGATTAAAGAATTGGCTTTGGGAAGAAAAATTGCAAGTATTCATGAGGAAAAGACTATAATTCAAGCTCTTGAACAACTGGAGTAATGATCTGAAACAAATGGGATGAAATCCAATAATGATGCTTGCAGCATACTACAATTAATTAAGAATAATTCATTACGCAAGTGTGAGATGGAAAATTGGATAGAGAAAACTTCTGTAGAAAAGAATCTGAAGAAAACAGTAAATCCAATTCTGTGGCAGGAACAGCAAATACTGTGCTAGCAGTCATTTACAGAAGAGCTGCATCTTAGGCACACAGACTGATCTTTTCACTTGTGTTCATACCCAGTAAAGTCTCACGTGGTCCAGAAACCAGCAATGGCACCAAACTTCAAGAGAAAGAGCAACTAA